TTTTGTCCAGCACCCCAATCCAACCTCATGCCGGGGTCAGGCTCTGGCTGCGTAAGGCAGACTTGCCTTCCTTCCCATGAAGGGAGCTGTTGTGTGCCTTGAATTCGGGGGGCCTCCTCGTTAAACAAAGGAGAGCTCCGTATCTTCAATTTCCTGAAGCTCTCAGTGATGCTGGAGGATGCTGTAATAGCTCGAGTTTCTTGGAACTACCTTCTCATTGCACAGAAATCGCAGTCAAGCGTGTATTGTCCGTACGCTGTGTTTATTTTTAACTTGGTCTGTAAGAGTAACTCCCCAATGCAGCAAGACTTGCAATGCGGCACAGAATTCCCATGTGCCCAACGGGAAACAGCAGGGAAATGAATGGTTTTGAGCGGCCAGGTTTGCTTGCTTGCACACTTTGTCTGCATGCCCCTGATTTCGTGGTTGTGCCACCAGCTCTTGGGCTTGGGCACGTTGATAAGGGAATAGGTTTGGAGGGGAGATGGGTGGTCAGTGCGTGCCAGGTGCCTCCATACGTACGTAGATGAGTGAGGTAAGCGGTGGGATGGAGAGCGTCTGCTGAGCAGTGCCCATGTGGTCAGGAGGTACCTGAAACGACAGCCTTGATGGGCCAAAGACCAAAGCTATGGAGAACACCGGAGTTAATAAGGTGGGGAGGGAGGCTTAATGTGTTCCAGGGGAAACCCACACCTCACAGCAGGCTCACACCTGGGATGCAGCACACATGAGAGCCAGTGCCCAAGGACGGGACTTGCATGTTCATGTGAGCATCTGTGCAGAGAATGCGCTCAAATGGGCCGAGTGGGAAGCTTGTCACAGTGGGTGTGAAGGGAATGGCAGCAGCCTCCAGCACTCCAGGTTCTCCAGCAGCCAGCACTAGGCCCCGTGCCCGGCAGGAAACCCGGCCCGGGCCCTCGCTGTCTGGCACCTACCATGACCGCGCGGGGTCCTCCATCGGGCGCTGCGCCGCGCGGCTGGTGAATAAACCTACAAAAACCTGCGCCAAGCCGAGCAACAACAACCTACGGGCAACCTACGGGCAACAACAACCTGCTCTACGGGCAGCTTTAATTAGTTTGGTTTGGTGACCTTTAGGTTTCAATAGTATTGGCTTTAGTATCGCTACTACTATCGCCACTACCTAATTTCATTTTCTTCCTTCAAGCTTCCCAAGTCTTTCTGTGGGCACTTAAGTAGTCTCTATTGTATTTCTGACATATGATTCACATTAATTTTTCATCTCTTTCAGGTAGGAATCTATAATAAATGTATTTGGAACAAAAGCGGGTTTTTCCGGTTTGTACAACTTGACTTGCTGTGTGAGGCTTTTCATTCTTACAGCAAGTACCCCAGAAGCTCACGATTCAATACTTGTGGCTCCAAGATTATTTTTTGAATTATACTTCTTGCAAATCCGAAAGGAATCTATATAATGCTATTACACACGTATATGGCAGCAAGAGGCCTAATTCCTATTTTAGGAATGACTATCCTTTGCCAGAATGCTGCATTTTAACATTGAGTTCATGGCAAAGCCTTCTATAGTCAAATGAGAGGAAATAAAGTGGAGATGCTCGACGTGAGAGTGTGTCTAGAAGAGCGTTCTTGGATCTGCCCTGATGCCCTAGCTCAGGAGAAGGTGGATGCAATGGAGCACAAAGGGGGAATGTTGTTATTTTAATTTTTCCTAAACTTAGGAAAAACTAGAAGATTTAAGTGTTCAGAGTCATTCTATTTTTCCTTTAAAGATGGTTTGCCTCACTCCAATTGAGATGTGCAAGCATAATATTGTGAGATATTAAGGCAGAAATACCTTTCCCTTCTTTGGAGCCACTGAAAGGACAAAACTTGAGTAGTTATTTGGTAACTGATGTGCACTTAGTTCTTCCAGACGGACTTCACTGGAATCAGTCTGGCAAAAAATAAAAAGAAATGAAATTTCATACCACTAACATGACTATTACATGACAATGCTGATAATTTACCCTTAAAATCTAGCATTTTTACACAATTACAGAATCTAGATATTTTTGTAATTACATCATTCAGCTCTCCAAAATGCTGAATTTAGAACTAAGCTGACTTAAATAAGCAATGCTCAACTCGCTGACGCCAGCAGATGGGACATAAAGGAAAGGTATAACCAACCTCCTTACTTCCTTATGTGTTTAACCGTGTGATTTGAGGCGCTAGTTATTCATTCTAAGCAAACTGGAAACCTTGGATATCAGGCTCTCTCACAGTGCAACTTGATAGAGATGGCATAAAGTCTGGGACATCTTCAGCAACAGAAGGGTTCAGTCCATTTCAACCGCTCGTACAACTCTGGTACTTCGAACACAGAAATTAAGTAAAGAGAGAATAAGGAAAAATAATCAAAAATTAAACTCCATTCCATGTTCATGAAGTTTTTTTAATACTCATTTTGCTACGATGTAGAACAAGGACTATTAAATTTCCATTCATTAGCAGGCAACAAGATATGAATGAGTATTAACTTCAAACAAAAACTGATTTACCACATCAAGTTGTGCACTTAAAAAAATTACAAATCTTTTTTTTTTTTTAAAGAAAGAGTAACAGTGGAAGCAAAAATGAATATAAAACATGTCTGATTAGGCTTAAAACATAATTTCAGTATTCTATGGCATTTCCTCAGACAGTTGTCTTAGATTTGTTTGTGCAATACCCATCTTTGCATAGTAAAGAAAAAATTTGTTTAACTCCAGTCTTAAGCAATTGGTTTCTTTTTAACATGCACCTATATATCTTTTGCTAGTTTGCCTACTAGATTTCTCTTTCAGGAGGATCAGGTCAATTCGGTGGGATCATGCAGCAAACTGGTATGAGCTCTACAATTACCGTACAGTTTCATGGCCAGAGGAACCGGTAAATAAGGCAAACGCATCATGGGTGAAATGGAGACCTTGCTGACCATGTACTCTACTGACGACGCTTCGTGACGAACAAGTTATCATTCGATGCATTTGTACTCTCCAAAGCATATCAAAGGCATGATGTAGAAAATAAACATCTAAAACATTTTATTTATTGTCTAATAGAAAGCACTTAATCTGTACCCACTCCGAGCTGTGCTGCCACTTGCATTCTGTACACACAGAGCAGAGCGGATGTGTTCTTATACATGCACACGACAGCTGATGAGTGGAGCAGAAATTCAGTCAAGAAGTCATAATTCCTATGAAATTGCTGGTGTAAATAAAAAGTTACTCCAGCACTTAACGTATGTACATAATAGTTGGGGACCACTGTGGTCTGATTTAAAACATCACATCGCACATTTACAATGTTGATTGTGAAATGCTTCTCAAAGGTTTATTACACAGGTAGCTGGTGCAGCTGCAGTTCCGCGCGGGATTCCGGTGACCGGCCCTGGTGCCGTCGTGGCCACAGTCGCTTTGGGAGCGGAACTGGAACAAAGTTGGGGAAAACGCTTCCAAACCAAGCAGTTTTACAGAACAATGGTACAATTGCAAGTATTTTTGGTTCCCCACAGAAGTATTTGTTATTCTTACTTTAATTCCCCCTGAAATAAGGCAGGAATTTTTCAGAATGTGGTTTCTTATATATTTATAAATCAATGTTGACTACCTGTGTGCAGCACCTTTAACTCATGTAGTAAGTGTAAATGTGATTATGTTAAAGCTGTTTAAAAACACTTCATAACTGTCAGCCAGAACAATATATTGCAGTTCTCTTGTAAGACTGTCAGATTCAACACTACCATAATATGAAATCTAATTAAAGCCAAAAAGATCTTGTAAGTCACAGGGAAATCTACAGCATTTTTTCCTCATGTTCCAGTTGAGCCTTAAAAGTAACGCGGGCAACTGGTTTCCACTGAACAAGGATGGAATAAATCTTGTAACTGGAATTCCACTGCTACCACTCTCCAACTTCTAAATTAAAGACAAAACTCAGAAGAGGCTTTAACCACGATAACCAGTTGCAGCAGCAGAATTTTTGGGTAACTTCACTTGTTTAAACTGACGTACACGAGTGTAAACTCAGTGCAAGGCTGGCCAGACCTTATACTTTAAGGGAGGCCTAAGCTGGATCTCTTTCAACCCGCTCAGGGCAGGCGCCTGGGTTTGCTCCTAGCCAGAAATGCAGAACGATGCCCAGCTTTCCTTGGAAAAACCTGTGCTCAAACACAAGGTACAGCTAAAAGTAATTACAACACACAGACCCGGTAAATCCACATGAATTTTTGCACATTTAGTGACAGTAGCCATCATTAACAAGAGTCAAAATACTAATTTTGTGTTAAATTCTGAAAAGTGACACGTATCAAGGAGATACAAGGAGTGATTTAGGAACGTGAGTTATCATTGCAAGCCAGTTTGGTTCAGTGGGAAGGAAGGGAAGAAAATATCTCATTCTAAGTTTTAACATTGTGTGAGTAGTTTAAGGCTTTTAAGTTTAATTCACAGGAACTAGTTTAAAAAAAATAGCTAAAGTCTTTTTTTTAAAAAAAAAAAAAAAGAAAAAAAAGTTGGCACTTCTGTGATTAATTTGAGAGGGTGTCATTTTCTTACATTATATACAGAAAATCTGCATGACAGCCACAAAAGTAACCGAGGAGGCTTATAGTCAACACACAGATATGCGTTTATACATTTTAATCGTTTTTGGTTTCAAGCATACAAACTTCGGATCACGTCTGGTGTCAGATCTCCCTGTATCTGCATGCCACTATCTGCCTTTTTGAGCAAGCCCAGAACACCCACTGTACAACATGCCAGAGAAAAGGGGGAGCAAAAAGAAGAAAAAAACATCAAAAATAGATTTACATAAAGAATAGAACCTTTTTAAGGGAAATCTTTTTCTCTATATATAATCTGTGAAAATGATATGTTGATTTTATTTCCATATTTACACCTTTTTCCTTCCTGGAAGAACCAGACATCCCTCACTCCATAGCTTCCATCCCCAAGAGCCTCCTAGCGCAGGAGGCGGAACAAGGCGGACCAAAGCCCCGGGAACAGGGAGCTCTCAGGGCAGAGCCCCAGGGAGCCCGTCAGGACCCGCTCCCGGCATCCCCGGGGGTTTGTACTTATCATCAGGCTGCAGTTCTGCCGGGGGTCAGCTCGCTAGCTGCGCTGTTGGATGTGAGCCATGCAGGTTACCCTTTCGAAAAGGAGCTCCTCATGCCACTGGAGTTTCGATAAGAAAAAGGAAGTCATGCGAACTTGGGTGAAGGTAGAGTACCAGCAGGTTGGAAAAAAAAAAAAAAAAATCTTCTGCTATTTCTGTAGTTTGAAACAGTTCTCTTATTGCACTTGGTCTGTTTCTCCTCCTTTGGTGGAGAAAAGAAGAAAAGCTGATTTGGAAACAGTTTCCTTTAACCCTGGACTGTTAACATTAACAGAAGAAAGGTAATGGAGAAAGTATAACACACTTCTCTCCACAAAGAACAGTTTTCTATCATCCCAAATCCCAACACCCCGGCATTGTGTCTAATGCATTTTTTTTTTTATGTGCTTGCTTACTGATTTATTTCCTGTACAACTACATACCCAAAATCCGGTAGTGCAAGGAGAAGCTTTGTGAATCAAGTTTCTTCAAATAGGGCCTTGTTGCGTTGGATCGAACCTTCGTTTTTTGACGTTTCTTCCAGGTTGCATCAAAAGAAGATGAAAAGAAAAAACAGCAAAACATTCGTCAGGAGTAGCAGGAACAGAGCGCAGCACTAAGGTCGTGGCAAAGCAAAAGGCTCACACCGAGGCAGCTTAACAAGGCCAATTGTCACCGCTTGGAAAATTTAAGCAGTTTGTGTGTTTTTTTGTACCGTAATTTCAATTACGAATTTCCTCGGGCAGTTCAGGGCTGTGCTGGCATCCTTCAGTTACTCCTGCTTCAAGCAGTGCTTTCAGCAGGCAGGGATTTCCCCCGGGTTCGTGTCCTGCTGGGGCGGGAGCCTCGGTGAGCCCCGGCCTCGCCACGCGCCGCGCGCTCCGAGCGAGGAAGAAGGTGCAAACAGAGGCAGGACGTGGCGCTCGGAGGAGACTGGACATGGCCACGAGCCGGGGGGTGGAATGTGATCAGAATAGCGGGTGGAGGTTCCCGCGCTGGCGTCCAGTCTCCTCCGACACTCGCGTCCTACGTCAAACAGCAAGACATTACAAGCGACAACAGAAGTTAGGTGCCACCTCCCCAGTGTCTGGCTTCATGTGGGGCATCAAGCAAGGGGCTCATGCATTTAATTTGAACGTTGGGCAGATGCACCACTACCGCCACCAAACTGACATGCAAAGAGTACCGAAAATCATGAATTCCCCCAAACTGTGCAGCATCCCCAGGACTGTTTCTGTAGCCCTACTGCTGCTACCCACTGTTCCTAGGGTACCTTAGTCAGGGGCTGCTGGGGGCTTAAGGGACAGGTCCAAAAGTCCCCCTCCTGCCCACAACTTTTCCCTGGGTACCAGTACCTTCTTTATTTATTTAAAGTATGCTTAAGAATTGCTTGTTTCTAAAGTATCATTATATTGTTTAATCATTTTCTTTCTAGCAGTGCTATGCTAAGTGCTCCTATAAACCATCACGTTCCAGTTAAACTTGAGGAGGAGGACTAATCATTAAGATTCTATGCTGAATTTTGTTACCAGAACTTTGTAAAATTAAATTGGAAAGTGGGTTTTGTGAGCTCTCATATAAGCTATGAGGGGGAAAAAACACGTCACTAACGTTCCCAGTAACACCTTCCAACTGAACCGTTCTGCCTTTTCCAAGCTGAGCCTTTTCTAATCCCACCTGCACCAGCGCACAGCAAAATGCATCAGACTGCTCTGCAGCGCCGGGTGCACCCGGGCTTTGGGGCAGCAGCCCCAGTGCTGCGGAGCCCTCAGCACGTGTCCTAGCGTGTGTCCAGACCGTCGCTTCACCCAGTTCCGTCAGCGGAACTGCGCACGTCCAGGAATGTCCCGCGCATCCAGCCGTTGCCTCGCACGTTCCGCTGACGCTACCGCCGCAGGGAGAAGCCTCCGAGGGTCCGCAGGCCCCGAGGCGGGAGCCCGAGGGAGGGCAGCAGCGCCGGGGAGGCCCTGTGGTGCGAGGCCTCCGTGGGTGCTCGCAGGGGCTCGTGTCCCCGAGGACACCGCGCTGGCTCTGCGCCACGGAGCAGGGCTCTCCTAGACAGCCAGCCTTGAGGCAGGGGTTCAGACAGAGCGGAGGACCTAAATGATACTTGATCCTGTTTCCTAGTTACTTGTTTTAGGTAGAATCTATAAAGCACTAACACATTAATATACTTAAATAACAATGTTCCACCTCTGTCTGTAACGCAGCAAGAAAACAAAAAAGTCTCTTATCTGGACAAAAACTAATTTACTGATAGTCCTGATTCAGAAGCAAGCAAACCACCCTATATGAGCTGCAGGACACGGCTCTCTACAACACGATTTTCCTGCACAGACCAAAAAATATTTCAGAAAACATCATCTTTTTCAAAAGGCTAAATAACATGTAAGAAAAATCATTCTTTGCTCCTCTGCTCTCTCCCTCCTCCCAATTAGAAATGTGTTTACACAACACCTCCTTGCTTGTGCGTCTCTGTCTGCTTTGTGTGCTGTCTAAAAACAATCAAGTCTTACAAAAGTACCTAAGATTTGCTCCAAATCAATATTTTAATCTCTTCAGATAACTAATGTTTCTATAAGCATTTTAAAGCAAGGTTGAAATGCTGAAGAAGGGATTAAATTAATGACCTTTTGCTGTAAACTGATGCAAATTAACAAAGAACTAAAATTAGCAGCTTAAAATAATAATATGTTGGCCTACCATTTATTGTATTAGTTTGGAGGAAAAAAAAAAAAAGATGATAAGTCCAGTTTGAATCTTTTGTTTAGATATGACTGTATCTGAATCACTGTTCATGCTGTAAAGAAACATTGGTAAGGGAGACAGGCACATACCTCAGCACAATCTCCATTAGTCTTTCAGTGCCTTATTTTGCAGAAACCTTTTTGGGCCTCTTTTGGGTATCTGCTGAGACCAGCAGACAATTTCAGACCTGTAAGGGCTGGGTAAGTCTTTGGTCCATCCATAAATTCTTAGTTTAAAAAAAAAAAAAAAAAAAAACCCACAAAACTCTGCCTAAACACCAGGCTGGCAGCTGCAGTTACTCTTTATCCTCGTTTACCAGACGCTGTCAGGTTCTGCAAAGCTCCTGCAGCAGCATCCAGGTGCTCATCCTGACAGGCCTTCCCTGCTCCGGCATGGAACACTGTGCATCCAAGCCCCGTGCAGACCTGCTGCACTGAAATGGGTATCAGCTTTGTGACTGCAATATTTCCCTGTATTGCCCAGCACAGTTCAGGTCAGTCCTATAACATGATTCCTTCCCTGCAGTCTAAACACCAGCAGCTTTAAAGGGACTGTGCGTGGCTCTGCTGAAGTTGTTTCCTAGCAAGGTTTCCACTCACACCCTTGTAACTCTACACCACCAGATTTATTTAGCCAGGCTCTGAGTTGCTCAAAACTTTGTCAGTAAACTTTCTAATTTCCTATTCTATTGGCATTATTAACTTGATCAGGAAAACTTAACCTAGGATTCATTCTTGAAACTGGAAGGTTTTACTGTTTCCTAAACCTGCATGAAACCTTCTTTTCCAGTTCCCCTTCCCCCCCTCAGCCCCTCCTCACCTCAGGCCATGAACAAAGTTTGCTTAGTTGCAGCTTACGTTTGATTTGGACTTGACACCACAGTACCGTATGTTCATATGAACATCTGATAACCTGTGAAACAAAAATCACATCTCCCAGTTTGTAAGGCATTAGCTACCTTCTCCCGCAGTCATAGTGACTAAACACGTCGCTTGCTTGAAAAGGAAAAGTTAAAATCCTCGTTTTTCTCCTCAGCTGTCCCTCCACAGATGTCTGATGCAAAGTGTTGGAGGGTCTTGTGTGTGCAGGCCAGTTCCCCTCTGAGCCCAAGAAGAAACATGCACTTCAAGCTGTGAGCTAGGCCAGCCCAGTGTATTTGAGGTTCTGCTACAGAAGAAACATCTTTACCTTGCTCTTTTGAGAGCAACAGCTTCAAGAGACTCTTCCAATATGCATCTTGAATAGGGATAACAAACTTCGTTTGAGCAAAGGAATAACACCAGGATGCAAAACTGAACAGTTGTGGCAGTAATTTAGGTACAAAGGTTCCTATGCAACAGGAGAGCTTCAAAAGAATTTGGAGCCAGATGCTGCCTAAAGTGCGAGCATTTTAAATTTTAATAACTTGTACTGTATTTTAGTCAAATTACCTTTTGGATTACAAATGCATTACTTAGGGGTAAATACTGATTTCTGTGCATGGAAAGTATATGCATTGTTAAGTAAAAATTCTCTCTCTGATACAGATCCAGAACTATAAACTGTCATATTTTTTTTTTCCAGTGAAACTTGCAAGTTTCTGTAAGAATTAAACATGCTAAGATCAATGTTTTTAATATTATCACTTTAAAAATTCATGCATTTGAGAACACTGTTGGTCTCAATAAATCAACAATATAACAGGAATATTAAATATAAGGCTTGCAGAAAACTTGGCTGTATTTTTTAAAAAGCCAACTGCAGTAAAATCAGTTCTGCAATTAAGCTATTTCCATATTGCTTTATGTAAGAGAAAGTCTTTTCACTTTTAATCTTACATCTTTTCTACATATCCTAGTAGATGTTAGTGCACCTGTACTAACTAATGCTACAGAATATGTCTAGTACCTAAAGAGTGTAAAAAGCACAAGGCCAGAACGGGCCCTTCACTTAAGAAATCTTTTGATTCATCAAGTGAAGACTCTAAAATATACACTTCATTTGAATTTCTGCCTTTTATTATCTATTTGAAGTAATACAACAAATCAAAACCACATAAATATTAAATAAGCAATTTAGAAATCTGGAAAATACTAACTGCAATTATTTTATGAGAAACAATGTTAAAGACACATGACTGCATTAAACTACTTTGTTAAGTAAGGATCATATGCCCATGGTTTAAACAAAGATAAGACTGACATGTATTTCATCTTTCCCGCTAAACAAATGAGGTGTGGTGCCTTTTAGACAGGAAAGGGCAAAGCATTTTCTCTTCTTGAATGGGCTAAAAGACACTTAGAAAGTTTCTACATCCATAAATATATATACTTACATAATGCAACTGAACACTATAAAAATGTAACAGTCTAAAATAAGAAAATAAAAAAATCCCCAGACTTTAGGGGACCATTCATAGTGAAGGTTATAGTAAAGTTACATATACACATAACTTCAGGGTTAAATATAACAAGGTGAACTCCTGAAGTTAAATTATTTCTCTCCTCATTGATTTTCAACTTTGCACCCCGATGCCATCTGTCTTGAATCTACCTCCTCCTCTCCCTCTGCGCATACATAATTCTTTCTCTTTAAGGAAGTTTGTTATAGTTTGGGTTTCCTTTTTCTTCTTTTTTTTTTTTTTTTTAGCACACAAATCTTGTAGCAGGAGCTCAAAAATTAGTGATGTAAGCAAGAGAGAAATGCCATAGCCACCGAAGAGAAGACATGCGGCACTGCTTACTTAAAGCCCCATCCTGTCCCCCCAAGGACAATAGCTGCTACCAGGATGGCACCAGCGATGGAGCCTATTATAAGATTGGTGGCACTAGGACCTGCGATAAAGGATTACGGGAAGAAAGACGTAAGAACCAACCACTTTATTCACGGTAAGTGAAGCAATTGAAGGGTAGGCAAACACTCAATGGAAAATAGACAGCACACCAGGTGATGTCTCCACACACTTTCAGCAGGCCCTACTTGCTTTTCTTTAATAGTAAGAATGAAAAAAGCTGTTGGTCTCTCCCAGGCCTACGTTAATGTCTACCACACATAAAAAGCTAGTATTAAAACATAAACTCTATTATGACTTCTCCATTATCTAGCAAATAAACTGTCACCTGAGAGCTTTACATTAATAAATAGTTCCTTAATTTAATTTAAAGGGAAAAAATTATGAATGTTGTGTTTTTTTTTATGCCTACAGCAAAAGAAAATCAGAAAGCCTGTTTTTTTTCCATGTAGATCCTGAAAGGTGGTAGATATTTTCTAATCTGAGCTAAGAGGATCTAGAGCTACATGCTGTCCAGAGTCTCTGCAATTACATCAGTACTAAACTTGCAAACAACAGCTTAACAAATAAAACAACGGGACTACATAATAAGGAACCAAATTTGAAAGAAAAGCTGTATGGCCATTAAACTTTCCAACATCAAAGTATTTCTTCAGCATCCTCAAGAAGCTACTTAACAACAAAGTAGGAAGGGCTGGAGCAGGAAGAAAGAACAAAAAGCAGCAGCACAAAATATATATGGGTAATTTTCTGAAGAGGGCAAGAGAACACCTAAATACAAAACTTACAATTAATGCTTAAGTGATCTATTTTCTGAGGGTGGAGGTAGACGAGAGGGATCATTGTTTTACCAATCTAATTTGCTCAGAACATGAATCCTACTGAGCAGCCTTTGATGTAAAGCTAATTGCAAATGAGTTCAAGGCAAAACGAAAGCACCACAGCAGTTCTGCAACAAGTTGCACACTTGGAGTTCAAACATCTACATGTCCAGAATTAGGCTTCAAAAACAGTGTTTATCTCCTATCCCAGGCCCCTCAAACCAACACTTCCACTCAGCAAGAGGGAATTTCTATTCTAAATAATTTCTATTCTCTGCTGCAGAGTCTGGGTGGGCAGCTGGCAGAGGGGCAGCTCTGCAAGTGCAGGGGAGCAACGAGAGCCTCAAGGCATCAGGCCAGTCCCACGTGCCCCTGTCCCAAGCACTACAAGAAGTGAGGACAGCAGCACTGCTGTTAGATACCACATCAGCCATAACCAAAATTTTAATTCGTAACTTTCAGTGTTATGAAGGAAATATTCTGCAAACGTTTCATTTACTCTTCATATAAAAATACATTTCAGGCACTGCAGAGCATACAGACCCAGCTGAAAGTCTGTATGACTTATCATTTTGATTTAGTACATATAAAATTATCCCTCATCCTTCAGAACAAAAACCCAGATCTTGAATGATCCCGGGTTGAACAGTATTACTGGTTTTCCAAGGAGTTCACATATACTTCAGGGGCACTGCTTGCAGATTTCTTTCAAACAAGTGTAGAAAAAATAGACATTTTCCAAAACCCTTTCAAACATTTGGCTTAGAAATGGCTTTCTGCAATTCCTACACAAAAAAAAAAAAGTGTTCAGGAATATTAGTAAAAGACTAAAATATAGAAATATATTTAATTAGAAAATAATATATAGTGATTTTTACATGTATAAGCAGGGCACAAACTTGACAACAATAATAAAAAGGTAATTTTTCCATGCTTTGGAAGAAGACATCTTACTGGGACTTACCTTTAAAATTCCACCTGGCTATAAATCAACAGTAGTGAGTGTGGTGGAGAGTAAAGAAGGGCCCTTTCACAGGCTTTATATTCCCAGCTGAAACTTTCCTTCAACAGTTAGTATCCTAATCAGCTAGTGCACCTGACTCAGAACTTTGGCTTTCTTCACCAAAAGAAACAGTACACAGCAAAAAACTGACAACAGAGCAAATATTGGCTGCACCATTTTTTAGAAGTCTTGAAAAATTCCGATGCTAATTTCTTGCTAGCCCTAGAATGTTATTTTTCCCACAGAGGAGACAAGAGGTACTATGATCAACTGTTAGTAATATATTTATAATTTAGATAATGAATTACCAAATGTCTATTTTTCAACATTTCCTTATAGGAACTCTATATTCCTGGTGATGTTTGCACATCCAGGTAACAGGCAGTGTGAACTTTCACACATAAGCAGGGAAGAATTCACTTAAAATTTAAACCACGGAGGGTAATATACAAACCAGTTAGGGCTAGTTGAGCAGAAACACAGTGAAATTACGGTAAATGTTAAAGGGGTTGCAATAAAAAGATTTTTCATGTCTTACTCAGTTTTAGGAAGTGTCATTAACTAAAAAAAACTTTATTTTTGACACAACTGTGAAAATCAAATGCTTATAAATATTAGACATTTCCAAATGCTTATAAATATTAGTCATGTAAATAAATCTGCTAAGAGCCTTATAGCAATGTAAAGAATAGATGGCTGTGAACAGGCAGATGGCATGTCTGTTTCTAGGGAATAATTCAAACCTCTTCAAAGACAGTCCTCCAGGAATAACAGGTGATATGAATGCAGAGAAACAGTTCTTTTTCCTAAATCAATTAAAGAAACCAGAAAGGCAACAATCAAGGTAAAATTTTACTTTTCTCAACAAGACTCTAATCTAATTTCAAGACTTCTGTGCAAAAACTGCTGATGAAATGTTTCTGCTTACTAAACATCATCGCCTTGGCTATGAGACTAGAGCTCTCCAAGCGAGCAGCTCCAGATCCAGAATATTTAGAGATTTGCAAGGATTGTTGGGAAGCCAAAGAACACAGCAGACTGCAGAGAATAGTACCTAAAAGGGAATGCAAATACTTTTACATAGTGTTGCTTGCCTTAAAGCCATATACATCACGTTTTACCAAGTGCACTAATGAATTAGGTTATTAACGAGGTAGAATCTAGCTACCACTATGAAGTGGTACTTTGCAGAGGGTTGCTACTTTAGTTTGTACCACATAGGAAAAAACTCAAGTATCTTTCAGCCAGATGGCCTTTCCTGGTCACAGAGCTGCGGCCAGACGGAAGGTGCTGGGGGGGCTTGGGGGCACCCCCTTCCCCGGGGCAGCTGGGGCCGCCTCGGCAGGGCTCTCTGCTGCCGCGTGGGCTCCAGCCCTCCCCTTAGACCTTGGTGCAAACCCTGCTGGAGCTGTTGGAGACGAAGCAGAAGCTACCTGTGCTAATATCCCTGGTCTTTCTAAATCTTCATCATCATCAGACAGCCTCTACAAGAGCTAAACACACGTTGTTTTGAAATTCTTTTTCGTCACAGAAGAGGTAAGGTTACAGATTGTCCTGAAAGTAACGACAGGCCCCAGCTTGATATTTTCTAAAACTTTTGTTCCTTTTGCCTATCACTCTGCCAACCTAAGCCCCCAGCCTACTTATCAAAGCCGGACAACCATTTCAGGATGAAAGTTGGAAGAAAAAGATTCAGCTGTATCATCCCACTTGGTTGCTATAATAACCCCACAGAGCATTGAAGTGAAATCACTTTTGAAGAAAAGTTTGCAATTGACAGCTGAAGGGGGTAGGGAGGAGGAGGAATGACCGGACCTGGCACTAGGGCAGTATTAGGGCCCTTGGACATCACTGTGAAAACTCATCCTGAGCTGCTCGAGTTTCCAAAGGCTGAAAATTGTGTCTCTGCTGCAGCGCTGTGGGACAGAGCAGATGGTGACAAGAGCAGCCTGCCCTGCAGTCAAGGCCATTGGAAACGCACAGGCTGTTGGTGCTGCCTCTGGTCTTTCTTGAACCCGAGTGCTCTGACCTGCAGGTTTGCAGCTGAAGGAGTTAGAGGAGCAGGAAAAGGGCAGCTGGGGTCTTAGACTCCAGAGGAAGCAAAGAGCAGAGGAAGAAAAGCTGGAATTAAGAGTTGAAGGATTCGGGAGCAAGAACAAATGGCCAGGGATGCCAGTAACAGCAGCAGGGAGCTGTGCCAGGAGGCAAGGCAAGATAAAAGCAGAAGGGAAGGGTTCAAGACAGTATAAGCAAAAAGCAGAACTGTCCTTAAGATTTAGTAAACACTCTGCTCCAGAATACCCCTACCTGGTGTATATTCTGCTCTACAATTTTCATAGTAAAAAAAAAAACAACCCACCACCCAGAAAAAAAACAACAACAACAACAAAAAAAACCCCACCACATCAACAACAAAAAAACTTTCTTCCTTTTACCTATTTTTCTGCAAGGTGTCCACTGTTGATCCCAGGGGTCTCTACTCTCCTGAAAATCTGAGCAGTCCAATTTGGAAAATAAAAAGCATAGCTAAGCCAGGGTTGCAAAATTAAACACACAAAGTGCTGCCTATTCTGGGGAGGCTGCTGTGTTTCCTTCATGTGAGCTGTGTGGCAATGCAACCTTCCTCACAAGGTCCAGTTAGAAATCAAACTATCCTGTTCTGATTAGAAATCAAACTATCTTGTTCTGTCCCCTGCTTCAGGAGGGTGGCGCAGGACGGATGCTTTCGGAAGACTGATGATAGAGTACTAGAAACGCCGTGAAGTTGGAAGTGCCAGAAGAGCAGATTAACAGCAGTTCATTCTGCAATTTGCACTGTGTTCTGTGAACACAGAATAAAGACAGCTCATTGCAGTGTGTGGTGACCAAACGGCTCACTCCAATAACCACTCTTAAAATTGAGACCACTAACACTTAAGCTTAGTTCCCCATAATTATGAAAAGACAATAAAACTATATATTTTATGTATGCACTATATATGAATTCTGTAGTGTTCTACTGCCTTGAKGTACCATAATCCTACCAACAGAACATCAGAAAACTTGACTCTAAAACTATATATAGACACTATTTTCAGTCTTCCTATTCTCAGACAGATTTTGAGACCCATTATTAGACTGAAAAACCCCATGGATTGAAATAAGCATTTTCTGCCCAGGTTGCTCTGAATCTATTTGGAAAAATAATTACAAGCTTTCATTTTTCCCCTCCCCCATTATTTTTAAAATTTGGAGCAATGGAAACATTTAGACATTCAATTATATTGTGACAATGCAAAAATCCACGAACTTACTGTTTTATGCCCCACATTATCCGAGACAGGAGAGGGTTCAACACCGCACGAGCAGATCGCACGACACAGACACGGTCAAAACCACACGACAAACACGGGCACCACACGACGAAGCTCATGGGGAGCACACAGAGGGCTCGGGGGCGCACAGTTACCTCACACACGAGGCACCAAACATCAAACTCAAACTGAGAAAAATGCTTACTCTATTCCCCACCCTGTGCCTCCAAAAATCACCCCCAAGGCCAGAATGGTCCCTGCCACTGCACCTATTAGCCTGTTAGTTGCCATGCTCACTGTGTGGAGGGAAAAGGGAAGATTCTTTAAGGAAATGATCACAAGTCATATATGTCTGAAATGAAAACATGAAATAATATCTCTAAAGAAAATTTTGCTCTGTAATCCATTTTCTGTGAAACAATTTAAACCCCCTAACAAAACCTTCCTGGACTCAAATACTGTATCTCTAAAAATGCACTATATTTGACTTTATATGAAAACTTGCAAACACTTCATTAAGAAATTCTCCTGTAAAATTTAAGACTATTTTCTTTTGCTTGTGATTCTATTGTGTACTTAAAAAATGAAATGTCTTCAATCTACTGTTTGTTTAAAGTATCCAAAGTGTAATAAAATCACTAAAAACTTCCTTTTGATCACCAGAAACATACTGTATCCATAGTATAACTTAACAAATAAAAACAGCTTGTCTGGAAACAGTTCCACTGCAGGAAAAATATGGGTTTTAATTGCAGCATTACTTATTTTGTTACCATATTTATATATATATATATATACACATACGACTTTATGTTTATCTGTATCTTACCAGAACAGCTTTAAAAGGAAAAGCCTACACTAGAAATTTGCTTCAGGTAGTACCCTGGAATTTTAATGTTCTGATGGTCTCTTTTAATATTTGTTTTTTCTTTTTTGAAGGGAACTCTTCTGAGAAAGAAAGCATCTATATACTTCCTGTGCTATTAAAGATTAAAAATACAATTGATTCATTCAGTCATAACAGACCGTAAGCAAGCACCTGAATTTACAGCTTCTTGGTCTAATGGAAAATTTTCTATATTCTAAAACTCCCTAGTCTTCATGCTGAAGAAAGTCTATTTTATAACCTCTGTTTTTTACCTTTTTTACATTTCATAAATGCACACACACACACTTAAGACAAATTTTGCATTAAAACAAACGAACAAACACCATTCCACTAGTCAAACGAGGGCCGAATTCTGCAAATGAAATTGCACAGGAAGAAACTCGTGTACATAAGGAGTCCCACTGACTTCAAAACTCGTGACCAACACTAACCTAATTCAGGGTTCCTGCAGTAGCCAAAAACTAACAGCATGAATTCCTTCTCTTCCCAAAACAGCTACCAGCCTGCATTGCTCTAGTGTGGTCTGTTAGGACAGGATACAGTAGGTTGCTGAGTTTAAGCTAATTCAAGACTCATGAATTAATGCCAACATAGTTATGGACAGCTTATTTTTAAATCCTGAAATATAGTATGAAGGCAAAAGCAATTGATGAATGATGGCAAGATCTGGAAAATAAAACAGAAGTGCAACAGGATGAGCAGTCAATTATCAAATATCGTAACAGTAAATGAATGGCAAGAAATACTTGTTAGCTACACATTCTCACAGTAAGAACAACGCAGGGATTGATGGTGTGAAAACTTAAATCACTTATCGAATTTTCACGTCTCTGAAAAGGTTTATAGCCTCTCTCTAAATAATTATCTGCTCTCATGATATTTAGACCCAAGGTTTCAACACTAAATGTCATAGCAAATGACTGAAATTAGAAGATGTTAAAGCCCTGAGTTACATACACACACTGATCATTGACTTAAGCAAATCCTCTTTCAAAGTGCCTCACTATGAAGGAAAAGAGGTCTAGTTTATTTGGTTGGTTTTCCTTATTATATCAAAATGCAGCAATTCCATTTGCTGCAAAGAATAACTCATTATCAAGAGACTTAGAAGAATCAGTACCTGGTGTCTGTACCTGGTGCCTGTACCTGGTGTAAGGCACAAAGTAGATGAAAGGGATTTGTTACTTAAAAGGAAAAAAAAAAAGAGATAGCAAAAAGAAAAAAAAATATGTAAAAGAACTATGTAAGCTATGGAAAGCTTTCCTAGGGTTGCCTTTATTATTTTCAATAAATATTAGGAGCTAAAATCTCCTCCCTCTTTAGTCTTTTCTGCACAAGTCCCTCAAATACGTAAACTATGGAAATATGTTATCTTAGATCAACCCTAAATGACAAATATAAAAGACAAAACTAATTTTTTTTTTTTTTAAGCATATCCTCAATGCAATACTTAAAAACTCTTTTCCACTTTTATTTGGATCTGGACATGGTTCGCTATTGAAGAATGAGGAAAAGAGAAAGATGAAGGTATTCCATGTGAAAGAACTTACCTCTTAAAAACTGACACATGGCAAGGGTGGCATTTCAACACTGTACAAACTGAAGGGCTGATACCAGTTCCACAGATGTGGCTATTCATTCTGGCCAGGCTTTATTTCATGGATTCTCCCTGGCTTTGAGAGTCAGGTTACACTAGTCCCAGTGTGAATCCTAATCCGAGAATTCTGGTCATTCTGGATGCCATTTTGTGAATGGAACTTCACAAAACTACAGAAATCTACTCTGTATCCTTTTTGACAAGGAGGTTGCTATCTTAGCACAGTAAAATATAATGTAACAACCAGCAACGTTCAAACTCCTATACTCATTTCTAGGAGATTCAGTATCAATAAAATAATAATGTAGGTAAATATAATTCCATCTTTTAAAATTTGTTCTTTGAGTCATCTTGTGACATAAACTTACTCTGCCTTTTTCAGTGGAGTTTACTGAAAAATGGAAACCAAATTTTAGGTCTGTAGCTACTGGCACAAATCCATACAGATACCATTCATTTAAGACTTCTTCTTCCGAACATTTCAGTATTGATGTATTAATTTTTTAAAAAGATATTTCCATTCTGAAATAACACAAGTTATAATTGAATTACAAAAATCTAACAAGATAGAAGTACCTTTCTTATAGACCATTTAACAGAGGAGGGAATCTTACTTCTAATCCACAGCACTTGGAAAGGAGCAAGACAAAGTCAAGTGCTCTTTAGTGTCACAACAGTAAAAAGTGCTGTCTCTTGCTGCAGGCAGGAGGAGCATCAGCTCTACAGTGCTGTCTTCTCCATACAGCCATTATGGAGACACATACCAAAATTTTGTCTTCCCTGAGAAATCTGAGTATTTTACATTCAGGATATTTTATCAGTTACAGTCTGCACCACAAGGCTTGCATTTTTAAACCCCTCTCTCTTCTTTCAATCAGCTTTACAGAAGGGATGGAGGGAACCAGAACTGGGACATAGGTGAAAAATTTTATTTGGGTTTCTCAGTTGTTTATTGGTAACTTTTTCTCTAAATGCATAATTATGGATAAATGTAGTCTGATGTTTCATAACAGTCTGATGACAGGAAAAACAAAAGCCTTGGATAGCACAACCCAAAGACATCCGGGAGAGTCTCAAGTGCTTTTCTTCCTTTTTAAGAAATGTTTCTGACAAATTATTTTCCTAATAGCTCCTCTTTTTATATCTACTTCATATACAGTTGAAGTATCTACTAAGTACATAAGAATAAAAACCCTAAGCAATAATGGTTGTAAGAATATCTTAAGTTCTTAAATTTATTATTTATTTATTTTCCTTCCCACTGAAACCTGACGTCAAGAGCCAAGGCTTTTTCCCTCAGGACAATCCAGGTCCCCTTTTGCTGGGTCACAGCTCTCTGAAACAGCTGAAAACAACTAAGGATCTGGAAATCTCTAATAATGGAGGAGTACTGAATTCTCATATAAAAGAAATAAGAACTATGTTTAGTCAGCTTCCAGTTACTGGAAAAAAATGTAAAGAATGAAGAAAAAAGGGTGAAGGAAATATCAGGAAGTATATACACTTATGCACTCAAATCTTCCCAATATTTACGTTAGAAAAATAAAAGTTTTATCAATTCTTAAAGCAGACAGACAGTCATAATCTAAACAAAGCAAAATTCTACTGTCTGGTTCTGAATAGGACTGTATGGCATTTCTTGCTAATTCTAATACCAGCTACCAACAGAAAAATATCATAATTATTTGAAAGAATGTCAAAACTGAAATCACACAAACCCTTGGGTCCTTCATCCTTCTTGTTACCAGTATCCCTGACAGGATCATCAATGCTGCAGTCTGTCCCAGCCCAGGAGAAATTACAAATGCAAGTGGCTTCATTACTACACACCTAGAAAAGGAAAACGCGTCAGAAATGCCTTTTTGACCATATTTTGACCACAGTTCTCTCACTGCTCACACCACTCTCCAAAACTTCCAAGAAAATTTCTATATCTCTATCCTTCCCCTACTTTCCAATTTAAAAGCTTTTCTTATGAAACTCTGACTTTCCTTTGTGGGGCTCACATTCACTTCACATCTTCAATTTCACATAAGGAAAAAAAAATATGGCATAAATTAAGCAAGTATCTGTGAGAACTGCCGCAGTCAGCTGAAACCCCCAGTGGCTCCTGCTCTCCTTAAGGAAAATCTGAAGTATAGCTAGCCTAAAATGGAAGAATCTTATAAATATTACAGTTAAGACATGAGTAGTGAATTTGTTGACAGACAAGTTCTTTCTTGTTAATAACAAAATTAGCACTTCAGATATAATTACAGAACTAATTTAATAACCTTGCTTCCTAAAATCTTATCGGTGCTCCTCATGTTGTCACAGAACAGCACTGTTTGCAGCATCTAACACTTGCTTTCAGGAGATGAACAGTTCTGAGGCATGTTTTTGGGTAGAAAGCTGCACAAGGTCTTTTAAAGTACCACACATGGAGAGGCTGGAGGCTGGGCCACCACGGTCCCATGCAGACTCACCCCGTGTCCAGAACAGACTTTTCCATTGGAGCCGATGGGACAGCTGCTTATGTTCAAGGACTGGATGGGCAGGCACTTTTTGTCCAGACACATCATGTGAGGACCACAGGGAGCTCCATCTTCCACATAACCTAAATCAGTATCATCATCTAAAAGGACATGAGCACCACTAGGAGAAATAAAATTTAGCATATTGTTAGTATTGTGACTAAAGTCTTTCAAAAATATTAAAGCTGTCAGTGCAGATACTAGAAACCCCACAGCTTTCCCTCTTCCAAACATACAGAAAGAACAAAGTCAGAGTTTATGTTCGAGCAGACAGACTAAAAATAAATCTAAATAAATCTAAGTGACTTAAATACTCAAAAAGGCATCTTAGTTTGCCTTTCTTTAATCAAATCTTTGATAAGCCAAAGGTATTTTTAATGTTACACAATGCCAAACACCATCTTCCCATGGAGAAGGCAGTATCACTAAAAACAACAAAAAGAATGAAATAACAGAAGAGTTGAAAACTATTTCTCACATAGGTTCTAACTATACAAGAGAGTATTCGTAGCCTAACAGTGATGGTGTCAATGTCTTTAAAATACAAAGCCATATTGTGCAGTAGCTTAAAACCACTTACATGTCTTAACCAGTCTGTAGTTTAACCTCTCATCCCGCCACTACTCTTCACCACACCCTCCCTATCAACCTTCGTTTTCCCTAAAACTTTGGGAATATAATACCCAAGATACATATATATTTAATATATGGATTTCTGGCCTTTACAGACAACAGTTATTGATGTATTTTTACAGAAAAGCCACAATGCTGAGTATTAATCTCGGGTCATGAAACTCTGCTTCTGATCCAGAGGGAGTAATCACAAGGGCAGCCCACCTGTCACATATCTCAAATATGGAGTATTAGTGGGGTGTTTTGTTTTTGTTTGTTCAGTTTTTTTTTTTTTTATTTATTTATTTTTATTTTTTTTTTATTTTTAATTTTATTTTTAAAACCATTTTACATTTATTTCTATCATTAGATTTGACAGAAAAATCAGCTTGGAACACTGTATTATTTTACCTGCAGTCCACTATGCGGCCTTGGTGATAAAAAGAATTTGGGATAATTTCTCCTTGAACTTGACCAACTCGTGGAACTTTAGTAAGATTAGTACAGAGCAAAAAGCCACAGAAAACATCACTGTAAAAGTAAAACAAAAATACAAACCAAAATGTTACTGGAGTAATACGAAGTAAACTTGCAAAAAGAAAGACTGGTAAATGCTGCCTTTATTCACAACAAATAATGTGTTACCGTAATTAGGGTGATATATTTTCGGTTTACATCTTTAGGAATAAAATATTTAATGTACGTAGTAGTGGCAGTATTAAGCAACAAAGAACTGTAGGAACTTAGTGACTTTATGCTGCCCTGTCCCCAGGTCCTCTGAAAGCCCCAAACTGGCAGTGTGTCTGTTTGAAAACTCAGATATGGGAAGTTCTTTAGCACTGCACTGCTGAGTCACCTATGAATTTCTCAGAGCTATGGAATATTTTTGAATTGTAAATCCTGTGAGGGAAGGGCAATTCAAAAGGAGGTAGAACAAACTGTGGAAATGCTAATGAAAAAAAGTAGGAATTATTAGATCATTTTAATTTCTAGACAAATCACCACTACCAAGCTGAACTTACTGTTTACTACACTGAATCCATCGATCTCCATCCTTCCCACAGTTTCCTTTTTTTGTGCCTTCTGTATTAAGCTTCTCATAACAAAATTTGTCAGATCCTGAAGACTCTGTTGATGAAAAAAGGAAAATGGAACATACTATCCACCAATGACACGAGTTATAAAAACTCTTTTCCTCTCCCCCAGGAATTCTCTATATGTTTGAACACAAAAATTTTAAATCTGACCAGAAGTCTGTCTATACAGACAGCAGCAGTTGCTGCCATATATGTGGCTTTACATATGCTTTAGAAAAAGCACACGAGCAAACACTATGTGTTAACGTACAGGAAGGGCATCCTGGAACTTCAGCTCTCCTGCACTACCCTCAAGTCATTACTGAAAACATTTATTCCTTCTTAGCTGCAAACAAAATTCATCACAAATATACTTCTATTTTACTGCACACATCTGGGCTTAAATTTGTACTGTGTCAATGTACTAAACTAGATCTGGGATTAATATAGGGCTTTTTTTTCCCCCTGGGTAAAGAATAAATTAAGGAAAGTGAAGCTAGGCAGGACAGCTGTATCTTGACTGACACCCTGGGTAAGAAAATAAGCAAAAATCTCTCATCTTTCTGTTTTGAACTTAACTCACATTAACTCAAAGTGATAAATATTTTGTGTAATTACAACTTGAGATTTCACTTGCCAATCAAGCCACAGTTTCTTTTTGCAATCTATGTTTCACTGAGGAGATAATTTCAACTAACAGTAGCAAGAACAAAAAATAAGACAATAAAAATACAGCCACGTAAATAACAACAACAACAGAAAAAACAAAGAAAACACAGAAGGAAAGGAACTGGATATAAAATATATTTAAGGAAATTAAATGCAACCTACTAGATCCCCAGATATATTTGCACTGATTATCTCTCGTCTTGCATTCTCCATTATAGCAACGGCCCTAAACAAAACAGAACATGTCAACAATGAGATCCAAACACTGTTTCTTTTTTCCCCCCTCCCTGCCACTTGTGTCCTTTTGATTCTTCGCCCATACAATGGGGTGTGTAACAGCTTTCATAAATTGGGTAGTTGCCAAAACTAGAGGACATACTGACCCACATTCCCAAAGTATTTTGGTGTCTAATACTTAAATTTCAGGAGCTGCTTTATACTTTTCACTTAAAAAGTTGTAAAGAGCTTATTAACATGCAGGACACAAAAGATCTACCTGTAAAATGTAAACATACCAAGCCCTTTTTTTGTTTTTAAACAGATTTTTTTTTACTATTCATAGAGTGCACAAAGCATAAACAGCATCCATATCTGAAAGACCAAATTCATGAAGAAATAATGAAAAAAACCCTACAGCTTTTATTTGGTCAGTTCCTATTTGCCAATGTGCAGAGATTTTAAAGAACTGGATACCTGATTAGAATCACAGGCATATCCATCTTGTTTATGAAGATTTGGTGGACACTGGAAAAAAAGTATATATTTGTAATCGGGTATACAGTAATAATGCATTAAAAGATCATATAAGGAATTTTCAGGTTTTAGAAGAGAAATATAATGCACAAAGTAGATGACATAATAAAACAATCATCTAAATGCCTTGAAATTTATGATTACTTTAGAAATCTTTACAGCAGTTAATAAAGAATGGAAAAAAAATAGTATCCTTTCCTAAATGCTATCCTACACATTAGCCATGAAACACAGCGTTTTATTCTAACTTTACTGCATATTATTAACAAAAAATAGGGTTTTATTCCAACTTTACTGCATATTATTAATGGAAATTGAGGTGAGGCAAGATACAGGGCAACACAAACACGCTGAATAACAGAGTATTTGGCAGCTACTGCTGGGACTCATTCCCTCTCCTCTGTCATGCTGCATTCCTGTAATAAATCTCTACAGTTATTGGCAGGAATATGACAATGCAATTTATTAGTCTGGATCTTTTTTTTTTTTTTTTTTTTTCCCTTAATTTNAAAAAAATAAGAAAAGACAGAAAGAAATATCTCCCTCGTGGAATAAGTGCAATAATTAATTTGCATCCATTTATTTAAGCTTCTGAGCAGTTAAAAGAGCAACAACCCCAACAACAACCCCCCCTTCCTTATTTTTCTTTTATTTTTCCCCTAATTTTCCCCGGCCGTCCACCCCGCGCGTCGCTGCGCGTGTGTCCGCGGTGCTAATGAAGTTCGCGCGGAGCCGGCTGCTCCTCCGCGAGCCTCCCGCGCCGCCGCGGCTGCCCCTTCGCGCGCCCCGGCGGCGGCGCGGGCTCCTGCGCGGGCTCCTGCGCGGGCTCCTGCGCGTCATTTGCAGCCCGGAGAATGTTGATCACCTCACTAATTACAGCTCTCCCTCTCCCCCCTTCCCTCTGCTCTCCCTCCTCTCTCTCTCTCTCTCTCTCTCCTCTCTCTCTCTCCCCTCTCTCTCTCTCTCTCTCTCATTCCCAGAGTGCATATCGGGAATAGACACACAAAGACATGCGCACTCAACTTAATCAGCCATTTTTTTAAACAGGGCTAAAACGATAATAATTAGCAGAATAAAGACATATCGGATTTTCATTTCCTTTCCTCCTTTTCCCAACCCCTTCACAACCAAACAGCGAGACCGCGGTCGGCACATGCTTTAACAACTCCCGGACCCCAAAGGACCGCTCCATGCCCCCCACTTCTTGCTCAATCATTTTTATTTTCACCCAATAAAGTTGGAGGATTATTTTTTTTATTATTTTTTTAATGAACCTTCTCTCGTTTACTTGGATGTGATCAGCTGTTAAGTAAATAAAGCAAAACAAAAAAGAGAGGCGAAGATCCAGTAGGAACTGCGAGGGGAAATGGAAAGTAAGTTTTTTCTTTAACTTTTATTGAGTAGTTTGTGTTAAATTTAGGTCGAGTATCGATTATCTTTCCAGGCTGATCTTGCACAATCTTTGATATTTTGCTCTCTCTCTCTCTCTCTCCCTCTCTCCGTGCCTCTTTCTCTCTCTCTCACATACACACACACACTCACATCCCCAGATCCTATGTATCTCTCCCCTCTCTCTCTCCCCCCTTTTTCTGCCTGTTTCCCCATTTTTAGATACAGTATTTGCTCTCATATGGGGAGGAGGGGCTGCTTTTTTTCTCTCTCTCTTCTTTCTCTCTCTCTCTGTCTCTCTTTTATTCCGGGGGTTACGTTTTGTTTGGGTCTTTTTTTTGTTTTGTTTTGGATCTTTTTTTTTTTTTTTTTTTTTCCCTTAATTTGACATAAAATGAGTGCTAACAAGTTTCCACAGAATAAGCAGAGCTATACTATATATAGTACACTATACTATAAAGCTTCTGTGCACATACCTGGCCAGAATCCCCGGGGCATAACTCAGCAATATCACATTCATTCACTGCGTCTCGGCAATCATAGCCTCGTGGGAAAAACTAGAAAACGAGGAATATAGTTCAGGAGGAGGAAGATTACGTGAAAGCAAAATTCAAGGCTCCTGTTTGGAATAACTCCTCGTGGTACTAGGTTGTAAATACTCTTCTCACATATATTTGGCTTTTTAGATCATTCTACATGAAGCACACTACCTATAACGGGGTATACACAACCTCCACAAATAGAGACACACACCAGATCCATCCCAACCACTCACGAGACACGATGTATTACAGCAGGGTCCATCACTGCAGTGAGCTCCGTTAGAAAGGGAACACTTCTTGCAACAGTCTGCGTAGCACTCCTGAAAGAAATAAAGGGATTTGTTAGTTCTCCATTTAAAATAACTTGTCTTTCCCAAACTTTCTAAGAACTATCATGTATCAGAGGACAAAAGATTCAGTTCAGCACTGAGGACTAGGAATCATCAGCTGGAAGAACCCTTTGCATCACTGAAATATAAACTAAAGGGAAAGTATGCTACATGCTACAGTAACAGGAGGGTTCACATCTTCTGAAGCCTCATACAGGACTGGATTAGCCCGTGCCAGTGCACATATCTTAGTCAAACTGGAAGAAATGCAAAAGAAAGTTTATGAAAATTATATATGTGATTCTATTTAAAGAATAAAACATGGATTCAAGCCTGAGGGGCAGATTTTTGCAGAAAAAAAATCTTGGAATATTTCTACAAAGAAAAGAGGTTCTCAGAACATATTACGTATCTCCAAAGTTCAGTCTATGAAAGGGGTGACTGCTACACCCTTTCATCAGCATGAAAGGAAGGCTGTACTGAGGAGACACTGTTTTCACACTCATTCTCACTGTAAAATAACACAGTCCTTTGACCGAGCTGCTCTGTAACAAAGGCAAAAGAAGTTATTGCCATAACCTTCTCCGCTCCCTCATCTATCATATTATTTATTATATTTTTTGAGAAAAACCCATGGAATAATACACAAGTCTTTACTTGCCATTCGGAAACCACAGTCACATTCTTCTCCTGCTTCCACATACCCATTTCCACACTCAGTAGTTTCAAACAGCTGAAAGCAGAAAGAAACCCACTAAGTTCACCTAGTTAAAACTGTACAGACATAAAAGATGCTCAGCTAAATTATAAATCCCAGCCATATTTGCGAAAATACTGATCTCAGAAGATTAAATTAAAAAAAGATGATTTTTCCACCTACCATAGAAATAATTTTGCAAAATCCTTCTCTGCTTTTGACAACAGCTCAAAAATTGTCCTAAATAGTTAAAAAAAATTCCAAAACTACTAAAGAATAAAGTCCAGGTCAACTGGATTATTAGCTACAGAAACAGTCATGACTTGAATAAGGTTGAAAGCTCAAGTTAAAATGAGATCAGATAAATATGCAGCTCAATGTCTGTGCAACCTGAGTAAACGTGGTTGCTTCTGTAAGGGCTTAATATATAAGTATCCTTAAAAAAACACCCTTCACTTTAACTCTCTAAGCACTTTTTACTACTATTCTCCGCGCGCGCGTGTGTGTGTGTGTATGTGTGTGTGTGTGTGTAAACATCAAGATCTCTTTTTCTGAGCCTGAAATTCACTTCTCCATCAGACTCAATTATTTGACCTGTAGCTGAAAAGGGACCTGGAAGGGGCCAACCAGAGAAACATGAAGTGGAAATGTCCAAGGCTTAAAACTTCAAACATCAAAACAACAACAAAAAATAGGAGCTCCTACAGCATTAGCAGACAGTGACCAGGAAGCTTCAAACATTCATACCTGTCAGAGTCTAATTAAAAGGTTTTAACCAAAAATAGGGTTAAGATGACTGTGTAACAAGTGCTTTTTGTTTGCCTAACTGCTAAATACACTATTTCACAACTTATCTTCTGGTTTAAAAAAAATAAATAAAATAAATAGTCCTTGAATTTGAAAAGTATGAAACACTAACACAAAATGCAATTAATAGACATAGAGTTATAAAATTAAATATAGACATATATTTAATCATTCTCTGGGGAACACTTTTACTGAAGTAAACCAGATTTTTATTCTACATGCAGGCTATTTGGCAACATGTCTGTTACCTTGCTAGGTAAGCACCATCAGATGTCATTTTTGGTGTCATTTTAATGACACAAAAATCAAACTTTTGTTTTTAGTCTTTTTTTTTTTTTTTTTTTTTTTTTTTTTTTTTTTTTTTTTTTTTTNTTTTTTTTTGGCAGTTATGTATGCAAGCAGAAATTACAAATAACCTAGCCTGGAAAAAGATTAAAAAGCACAGTATCAAGCAGAATTTTTTAGTCAATTTTGTAAGGTGGTATCTCCCAAGAGATACAGTAAACAGAACAACAGTCCCATGGCACTACTTTCCTCAACTACATCAAATTTGGTATCATGAATAGACAGAACATTAACACCTTGGGTTGCTCTTACTTTGCAAAAAGAGCCATATGGAATACTTTACAGTAATTAGCCTTAGAAGGATGCCAGGCTACTATTGCCTTAGTTAGAAAAATGCATAAGTTAAAATAAAGGAAAAGAATGCAATGGATGGTAGAAGGAAACAGCGATAAATTACAAAGCTTATTATTGATACGAATTTAAGTTGGTTAATAAACACATGCTGCTAAAGTTTTTATGAAGCAAGTTATTGATTTCTAATGTTACTGGCATGTTTCTTAACACCCTTACGCACAAGGTCCAAGAATTGAGTGGCCATGGAGCATTCACCATGACCTCACCTCTGGATTTATTTTGCACTAGTTCCAGCTTACTAAGTGTAGCCAGGATGAGTGGGCCTCCATCTAGCAGTGTGAATCAAACTACAAATTTACAAGATTTGAACCTAAAGAATTGATGGAAAGCAAGTCACATGACTCCTCCTAAAATTATTTTCAAATGTTATTACTCTGCCTGGGAAAGAACATTCAACTCATCACAAATAACCCCAAGAAAATCTATAATTCCCACAGAGACAATTTGACTAAATCAGACAGGAGTTAGCGAACTGATTGCATTTTCATTGTAATGTAAGCAAAGGACACCACTGCCAACACTTTTATTACCTTTGTTGGCCTGTTGAAAAGACAGGCACCTCCCCCACGAAGCAAAAATTCTTTGTATTCTGCAATGCTGCACTTGGAGAATTTCCTGGAATGGTAAACCCTAAAACAACAAAGAATCAGGGAGTAAATGCCTTGAAACATCAACAGTTACTAGAAGGGGGAGACAAAAGGGGTCACAACACTTTTTAATACTATAAAACCCCATTTCTTATAACCACTATGCACAACAATATGTGAGTTCAGTCTTATCTCAAAAAAAAAAAAAACCCTTTTAAAAGATTCTGCAATTTTTGCTATATAGATCTATGATGTAGTGAATTTGCAGTCTTCTAATCCTCCTACTGTATGTGAAATATACTATCATAACAGTTGCTGTGCAACTTCTTGATTGTATAATCCAGTGTTTTATTTGGTGTACTTTTGCTGCAGCTTCAATTTAAATGATGGATTACATTCCAAATCCCTGATTGCATGCCAGGGTTTGAAAACTGTTCAAGCATCTGTTAACATGGTTCATTTTTAATCTAAAAGTGTTTGCAACCAAAAAAAAAACCCAGTACACTGTCAGATTATACTTTGCCCATATCCCATCTCTGATTCTGGTACAGAAAATATAGCCTGGAAAAAAGCAAGGAACAGAGCACTGCATTACTACTTGCAGAATATTCTTCTCATTTCCAATAATTTTCATCTCAAGGGCTTTCTCAGGAAGCCTTATTCTGCTTTATTTAACAACCTTCATTTTATTTTTCTTCCATGACTTTATCCACTCTCTTTAAATATCTACAAGATGGTAAAGCAAGGAGTTTCACAGCTTATTACAGATTGGTAGAACATCTTCGTCTCTGTTCTGCCACTTACTTGCTAGTTTCATTTCACGTTTCCCTAGTTCTTACCAGAAGAGACAGAGATCATTTCCCATGCTGTTTGTGATGTTATAGCTTTCTTTCATATTTCATCTTCATACTCTTTCTCCCAGCCTGATGAAATCTTATTTTATTTACCATTCTCACACAGGATGCCTTTCAATGCCTTTAAGGAACATTTTTGACATTTTATGTAGGTTTTCCAATTTTATTAGGCTTGTTTTGAGATTTGGGAATCAGAACTACTCATGCTATTATAGGTGTAGGCAATCAGTGGCATAACAACATGCTACATTTTTTTTCTATTCCCTTCCCAACAGCTCCTAACATCAGATTTGTTTGACTGCTACTAAGCTTATTGTGGAGAAAACAATCTTTGGCAGGATAATGTGGGCAGAGGGCAAGGAAACCACATGTGCTCCCATTAAGATCTGCTTCACCCTCAGAATTCAGCGACCACTTAGCCAAAGACTGAGAGCACTTGCTGAAATCATGAAAGAATTCAGCTCTCCACTTCTATTCACTGGAAGTATAGAGATCTGATGTCAATGTCCATGCAAAATTTCATCACTGAGGTCACATAAAAAATGTAATTGAAAACTGGGAAGGAAATGGAAATATCACTTATTATAATACAATTTTGGTATTTTTCAGCAGCATATAACGAATATAACCATGAAAAACTTATTTTTTAAACATATTAGACATTTGTAGCATTAATGATAATACTGCATTGTGCATCAAAATTTTAAATTCTGTGTGAATATCTTCATAAAATGTTCCTGCAGAGCAGAGGAGGGCACTTGCTGAAACTAACAATCTATCAATTTGTGTTGTTCCAATTATCTTTACTTTTTCACTTATTAGTGCTAATATTTGTAACAATGTTAACTACTAACTCATTTGAGAGTCCTCAAATTACTGGCAGTTACAACATACCCTGTTTCCTCCATGATGCAGCCACCCCAGGATTCAGTGCAGTCACACTCTTCTCAGACAAGACCAAAACACAACAGGAAAGCAGTTATAAATATGCTTATAATAGATATAAAGTACTATAAAAACAGACCTTGATTGCTTATACGTAGGTTACACCGCTGCCTGCCCGCACAGCATCGATCCCCAAAACGAACAGGGCCCCCTTGAAGGGATGCTAATTCATTTCCAATGAATGTGATCCTGGCGTGTTTCGACTCAAGTTTCAGGCAGGACAGAAGGCCAAAGATAGATTTTAAATGTTCATATCCCCTCTGTGACATACCTTCCTGCCTAAACTGGGTATAGAACACCCTGAAGGAGAATTATTACTGCATAGGCCACAATTTTTTCCTCCAAGGCATTAGATTCTTAATATTAATATGTACATCAGCCTATCAAGCAGGCATAAAAAAAAGCAGTTGAGTGAAAGCAGATTTACTGTTTGCTTAGAGCTATAGCATTCAAATCAACAGCGACCAAATTCACAAATTAAAAACAAATGGTCAATATCTTACGGTCAGTAAAACAGCAGTTACGAACTATTCATAAACACACATTGACTAACACATGGAATATCTTAAACAAAGAATCTGCATCTTGGTTATCATAGCAAACTCAGACTGTTTTGCAATAACAAGCATTCACAAATTATTTATATGACTATTTTTTCTATCTGGGTCTTTCATTAATCTTTCCCTCTGTAAGGCATCAAAACAAGGAAATTAACAGAGCATTTTAACAACTCACCTACATTAAAAAAAAAAAAAAAAAATGATTTCCAGAGTATGTGAACTCTCTTTTACCCATAAACTGAAATCAGTGGTACAGAAAATACTTCAGCAATTTCCATGTTTTTACAGTCCCGAAGCAACGCTTTATAAAACAACATTCCCTCAGGCTTTCTACACTAATTTCTAATTAGTAGATCTCTTAAGTGAGTAGAATAAAGTCAGTATTGCCATTCAGATTTTTATGGAAGAAGCAAAAGGACAAAGTGGCCCATGTCCTTATAAAATTTGACCCCCCCCAAAAAGCCCCGATTCTGACTAGCCCAATAAAGGGCTTTTGAAGCAGTTTTGTACCTACACCCTGGTTTAAGGCTATGTGCACCCAATTTTCTGAAGCAGCAAGATACAAGCTAAACTAATATCACCCTGTACATTACAGCTTCTTGCTATTTCTTCAAATATAAAGTATGTTTTTCTTGCTGTTTTTAAACTTAGTAATATAAGGTCAGTGTAGTTCTAGATTACAGATTCTTTTATAACTGATAATGACTTTTGAGTTAAATTAGTGACATTTCTGTGTTATACATCTGAATATGTCATTTATAAATCTAATCTCCTAACTCAGAACACCAGAGATCATCACAAAACCAGTGCTAAATTGGTGGTTCTTACTTTGGTTAAACTCAAATTGTAGTACTTTTTTGTATATCTCAAAGCAGCATTTCTTGCTCCACATTTGCAGCTAGTTGGGTATCTATTTCAAAGATGACAAAGCAAAAGGTTCTGTATCTAGCCAAAGAGGAGCATAGAAGACTCCATGCCCATGTACATACTCGGTTTCCTGGCTGCTGGCTCCCACTGTATCCCAAGGTTCTGGGCGAGACTTTGTGCCAATTCCTGTGCCATGGCCAAAGGGAGGCCATACTGCATTCCAAGAGGACAGCAATTAAAAGTAGTGGGGAGGGAGGGAAGGAGAGAGAGAAAAAGTTATCAAAATGGATACTGCCCTAGCTCAGTTTGGCTTACAATGCATCTACTACTTCCAAGTAATTTTGTGTGCTTTGGGTGCTTTTAAAAAATAACAAGGAAATACTTAAAGCAATTTTCCCATCTTAATTCTGAGTGAATCCCTTTAACTGGTTGATTTATTTCATATACAAGTACACTTAACCCAAGCCCTAACAAGAGATTTCATTACAGATTTTTAAACTGGGCTGGAAAAAAAAAAATCTATTTCTAGTTTCAATGTTTAAAAAAAAAAGAGAGAGAGAACGATACACCTTTAACACCTCAAAAGATCAATGCTCTCACACTGAGAAGACCCAAAAAGAATTTCAATGATGTATTTCAAATACTCAAGTATGAATTTTCGGTCTAAATTTCTGTCAGGCATACTGAAAAACAATTTAAAATCTTAATGAAAGTATAATGCAGAATGAAGGAATATTTTTTAACAAGCAAAGATGTGTCATTAAAGATGACACATGAAGTATTGCTGTAACAACTTCAATGTTTCAGTATGATAGTGATGTTTTAAAGTCATCTCTAAAGCCCTGAAGAGCAAAATTATATAAAAACACTGAGGCTATAAAATATATTTCCTACTTTATTTCATTTTAGTGGTGAAAGGAATTACCTCATTCACTCCTACTCCTCTGGTCACAGAACACACCCCTCCAAAGTAACTTAAGCTGCTCCTTTTGTAATGAAATGTCACATTCCTTATGAAAAAAATAAAGAAAATATAGTAAATTGACACTGGACACCAAGATGCAATTAGCATTGTGCTGCAATCTCCGTTTTAAGGCAGTGCAATTATAGCAGAGGCTGGAGAAGTTTTTCTTTTTTTCCCCCCTAATTTTAGCTTCCTGTGCAGAAGACTAATGCTAGGAGAACTAAATGGAAGAGATTTTGATTCCACCCTCCACAGCAGTGCAAGCTGCTGGGAAAAGGCTTAAGAGGTTTATGCTGCAGAGAGGAACACAGTTTTCTTCTTCTGTCCTGACAATGCAGCAGAAAAAATGCTCAGGCTTCACGTTAAGCTCAGTGAAACCAGTGCATTTTCCCCCTACATACCTAGTGGCTTACAAAGCTATTCAATATCACTCTAAGGAAGGAGAACTTCTACTAGCAAATGTCCCACTAAAGGCATAACTAGAAGGCTCTTGTGGAAATACATAACAGTTGTCAGCTCTGCCCCCTGCTTTTTACCAGTAAAGCAGTATATTAGAAAGTTTGTTAGCAAAACTAAGTTATCCTTAAGAACTTGTCAGAATACATTTTAAATATGAACACTGTCTCCCAGTTGCAAAGACATTAAAATTTCATTATATCATAAATCTATGTGCACCTGTAAAAAAGAATAATACATGAAAAAAATCAAAGTTGCTAATGCAGATGTCGTCTAATTTAGAGATGGTAATTAAGTAAAACAGTAAACAGGAAGAGATTGACAAAAGCAGTAGACACAGAAGTATATTTAAGTATAATGATCAAAATCACTGTTAATGGTACATACGAGAGCAGGTGGACAGCATCAGCATGCTGTTTGATGTAGTGCTGTCGATATTTGGAGAAATCATGGAGCATCTGCAGAGGGTCAGGGTGAATATTAATGCGATCTCTCTCTGTCCAGGTCTCCACAGCCACGAGAACCACCCTGGTGTTCAGCTGTTCCTTGTAAATCTGAGGGCAGAGACAGGACAGGCACAGGAGTAGAACACTGGGTCAAACATGCACAGCTAGCCAGTAAGAGTAAAGCGGAAGGACAAGAGGGATAAAGCAGGAGGGAAACATGGGGAAATCATTAGCTCGGTGCCTTAGACCTCCTAAAATTACTGCTCTGATCATCCTGAATTTTACGTTTTAGAGGGCCAAAAAACTTGCTGCTCTTTCTTAGAACTATCCCTTTTCTCTTCAACTCTCATGTCAAATAGTTTCACCACTGAGTTTTGCACAAAATCCATGCAAAACCCAGAGAAGAGCTAAACACTGTGATCTCATCAGACAAGAAAAAGCCAAAGTCAAGATTGTATTTACACCTTCTCAGTTTTCTGCAATATACCAAAACCTTAAGTATGTACAGCTCAGTTTTCATTTACAGTATGATGACTTCATGCTGCTAAAGTAATATGAGATGGAAATTAATAACATTTGTATCAGCTTAAATGTCACAGAAGTACGTGAATAAGTGACAAACAGGCACCAAAAAATTAGAAAATGTCTATAAAATATCAATTTTAATTTTATTCATGATCTGCTTCAGAGATAAAACAGTACCTCACTATAAGGTCAGGTCATAAAATGCCAAATTTTAGTAACTAACATTCACAAATTGAAGAGCTACTAGAGATATTCTTTGTCATAGATGCTCTGCATTTTTTAGGGCTCAAAAACCACTTATTGACCAAATATATTTAGTTATGATCTAAAAATATTGGATAATTATTCCACTGGCTGCTTAATCCATAAAACATACAAACATTGGTTTACTAGAACCCCACCAATCATCATCACAAACATATGACTAATTTTTTGTCCAAATTATACTTCTGATACACACCATGAATTGCAAATATCCTCTTGCATATATAGTAGTTAAACATACTAAATAAATTAGTGCTTGATGGCTTTTTTTTTATATCAAAGATAGTATTATCCTTATGAAAAGTTGATGGTATAATATTCAGCATAGAAAGATGACAATAAACATAGAAAAACTTCTAAGGAAAAAAGAATGTTAATATGCCTTATTTTGAAGAAGGGTAAGGCCATACATAAGAAAACTGTTAACAACAAAAGAAAAATCAATGACAGGAAAAATTAGAAAATGTACATGTACATTTTTTCTGCCCAAAAGTTGTACAGAAATTGTACAATAAGCCTGAATTCTGTTAGCTCAGAAGAGCACTGAAGTGAACAGGAAGGGAAGGAGGAAAGAAGGATCAGAGAAACTGGCAGTCTCTGAATCTTTATATCATTTTTCTGCTAATATTTCAGTTAAAAAATACAGACCGCTCCCTACGAACACAAGGGAATAACAAGGCAGAAATTTGTACTATTTTTCACGCTTTATTTATGAGGTGGAACTATTCATACATAGGCACATGAGTGCAAAAGCACACAGCAAAGGATGATGAAAAACTGTAAGAACAGTTGAAGAAATGAAGATAGATTAAATAATTTTTGTAGCAATTTTATAAGTTTGCTGCTAAATAATAAAGTTACTGAGTCTCCAGAAGTCACAATGATACTTACAGCATCCACAAGGTTTACTACAGACTTGGCAAAATTGTTCGTGTACGCATTTGAAGAACGATGCTTTTTGAACTAGAAGGAGAAAAGTATAGAAAACAGTGAGATCTTGAGTATTAACTACCATTTCCTTATTTTTACAACATATATTTCATGCTCAAGAAACCCTGTGTGATAAACAAAGTCATGGCTGCTAGAAAATCTTTTACATCACCAAAAAGACCACTTGATCATAAGATGTATCCTGTTTAGAACCATGGTTCAAATGTTGAAAAGAAAATTAAAAGCAAATTGATTTCTCCAGATCCCATAAACAGGAACTCAAGAAAACTGAGACGTTGTTGTACTCATTAAGGCGCCACTTAACCTGACGACAAGAATATCAAACCCTGATAGTCATATATCATGGCTATAAGACATGAAAACAACCCCTTTATCATTTGTCCTGTGCACAACTCCTGGCACAGCTCAACTTCCTCCAGTGTAGGAAGAGACTTTTATGATCTGGGAGTACCAGGTATGCCAACTGAAAAAAAGAGAGGAAATGCATGCTAAACGTGCATTTGAGTACTGAAAGAGTTGCATTTGATATCTTTTATGTGCTTAATTTTAAAGTTTTTCCATTTTCATAGATTTAGAGCCACACTGCAAGTTCTGTTTCCTGCGCATGTCAACATAACAACTGTGTGTCTTTCTGCACCCAGCTCTGCAAGGTCCGTACGTATGTTTTCTTACATTGACACTTACTCACTGTTAAATTCTATGATTCTCTCATACCTCAGTGTGCACAGACAAAAAAATCCTACTACATAGGTCTGCAGGGACCCCATTTCTACAGCTATTCTCAAAACAAAGTGCTTTCAGCAGTGCTAGTGGGGCTTTAAAATGTACGCTTAAAATAGCTGCCATATCACAGGATTCTTTTTGTTCAGAACAGGGAACAAAAGGACAAAATAATGGAGGGGATTATTATGGAGGGGGAAAGATTTGCTTTGTCTTTTTGTTTTATGTTTATGTTTTATGTTTATGTTTAGAAGTGGAAAACTAAAATAACACAGTTGAAAAAATGTCCTTGGCTTTCAGTAACATTTATTTACTAAAACCAATATTGATATGCCATGACATGCCTTCGAGCACAGTTTCTAAAACAGAAATTGCAAAGACTAACTCTGTAAAAAGTACAAAAATATGATCAAACAAATTTAACTATGTCTTATGTGTTATAAGAAATGAAAACTTTGTGAGCATGTCCAAAGAGGTTTAAGATACTCACTCCCAAAGTGGAATCTTGTCAAAAAAGAAATCTGCCCTCTACTGGTAACTAGATAATCTTAAAAATACTTTTAATAAACTCTGGTTTGGTAGCTCTTAACTGTGAACACTTCCTGTGTATCAATTTTACTCCATGAACAGCATTTTGAGTCCCTAAAGTTCTAGCAAATAAAGCTTGAGATGAAGCAACAAGGTTGAACATCCTTTAAGCCCCTAACACAGGAGGCACGTGAAACATCCTCTTCCTGCCATTTATAAACCAGAAACAAGGAAGTCAACCCATCTGTTCAGCCCTGGAACAAACACACAATATTTCATCCTATTCTGATCCCAACTATTTCTTACTCTTCAATATATCCTCCTTCAGTGTTTTCAAGGAGCCCAAAACAGCAATATACAAAAATGGGAAAATATGCAGCAGAATGAGAGACTCAAAGAGCCCATTCATCTATCTAATTTTAAAAGGTGATTTTACTTACACATTAAAAAAAAAAAAAAAGAGAGAAAAGAAAACCACTTATCAATATAACTTGATTGGAAACGGGGAAAAAAATGTTGATGCCCAAAAAGCTACACAAGGCAAGGTCACACTCAAAATAAAGCATGTTTCAGGTTGCTATTAATATGTTGTGGGTTGCAGAATATTCTTCATCGCTGGAAAATTTTCAAACCCACACTGTGTATTTCTCCATAATAGATATGGCTGTCGCTAAAAATGTGGCTATTGGACTCAAAAAAAAGAATTCAGAAAAGTCCTTCAGCCTGTAAGCTTAGAACATCAGTCTTACCACCCATCAACGCACAAAAATACAACTATTCACCAAAATAAGTCACAGCATTGGGCATACATGTTCTAGACATTTAACAAACAGATATTTCCAGCTCTATCTTTTGAAATTATGTGCAAAACCTTTGTTTTTCTAAAAAGACCTTAAAATAGTTGTTGAATTTTACAAGACTTATTACTTTATAGGCCTCAATCTTCTGACTCCTTTTTCATAGTGGTAACGCACTGACATTTTGATAGCTTTGCCTTACTTAGCATAATTAGTGAAAGCAATAGCAATTAAGTAACATGTCAGCTGATTTTTTTTTTGTTCTCCCTACCCTCTCGCCCCCCCCCCCATTATAACTCAAGGCAAAAAGGAAAAAGACCATGCCTGCCTCCCTCACTTTTTAAATTACAAATGTCAAACACTTTCCCAATCAGAAATATCTTGTATTTCATAATGAAACTTGTTTGTATAAGCATGCTTGTATAAGCATGAAATAGCCAGGAAAAATAATGAGATGTTTTTTTCAATATACTTTGCTGCATTCAATTTTAAGTTAGCAAAACCGAACTCAGGGTAACAAGTTTTGACTTCTGTATTTCTCTAAAAATAGGAGGCAATTTTAGATTCTGACAATGTATGTACTTCAGACAGAAAAGCTTTATTGCATTACTGTGTTGTTAACAGGTGTACTAAATTCTACATACTATATCAAAATGTTTCAGACATATTTTGAATATTTAAATTCAATAGAAATTCTAGATATCATTTAGATATCATTAAGAATTATTAACCATCATGGCCTGAATCTTACAGTGAAATGGTAGTAATTTGTGATTTATAAAATACTTGAGCCAAAAAAGGCTGATGAGACATGATGCTGTATGTGTATCAACCTACTAATTCCGAGCAAACAGAAGATTGCCTGTGAATTGATATACTTGCCATTTTATGATCATTGACTATCATGAGCTCCAGATATTTCATCTCTTCAAAGACACCACGAGTTGCCTGATGGATGGAAGACAAATTTTGAGAAATAAAGAGGCTGTAGTAATTTTCAAAGATATCTGCAATTGATTTAATAGGATTAGTCATATGTATGTCGTAGGGGGTAAACCTGTCAGAACTGTGCCAGCTCTTTAACTAGAGTAAATCATCACAGCTCTACTAACTTCGTGAATTATGATAACTGGCGATGGCCAAGAATCTGAGTCACATCATTTGGAATAAGTTTAGAGTCAATTCTTTTGGTTTGACATAGAAGCAGCCCCCATTTGTCTTATTTGCACAAAGGAGCACTAAAAGTTCTTGGTTTACTGTACTATTCATGACAGATTTAAGGGGGAAGTTACAAAAAATAGATAGGTCTCAAAAATACACTGTGTATTGTATGACTCAGTGTAGAAATATATCTTCTTAAACTTGTGCATTCCACCAGCTCTGACATATATGCATGTGCAGATCATATAGCCTGTCCACTTCTATTCTACACAAAACTGGGAGAAGCAACTGACACATCAGAGGACTGTGCTGCCATTCAGAGAACTGGACAGGAGACTTGGGGGGAGAGGAACCTCATGAAATTGAGCTCATAAGGAAAAACAACTTCTCTGGGAGGGTGGCAGAGCCCTGGAACAGGTTTCCCAGAGAACTTGTGGTGCCTCCTATGTAGAAAAGCTGTCTAGACATGATCCTATGCAAGATGCCCTAGGTGATCCTGCTTAAGCAGAGGAGGTTGGACTAGATGGTTTCCAGAGGTACCTTCCTACCTCAACCATTCTGTGATTCTGTGAATATTTTTTTCATAAGTTATCACACTTCTACTCACTGCTCTCTTTCTTCTCTTTCTTCTCAGCCACTGTAATTCAGATAGGAAGGGCCATTCAGAACTAGACTCAGTTTCTGTAGAAAGTAGAATTTAAGAATTTCATGACATCAAGTAAAAACTACTGATGTATGCTATCCAAACAAAAATTAGATTGAATTCACCAAAACAATAATCTTTGATATTTAACAGCTCATTCTTTAAAATCTACAAAACAAAGCATCTCCAGTTAAGAAATTTATCAAGAGTAATTTAGAAACCTAAATTTAGAATTAAAGGATGCATAGTGAGGTAGCAATTGGAATAGGTGTTCTCTTTCATCATTTGCTCTTGCAGTCACTTGTAATTTAGAAACTATATCGTAATAATTAGTTAGTTTAATTTACTATTTAATTCTTTTTCTAAATAAGCAGAAATTAAGTATAGACTATGGTAGCCTAATATGGAAGTTATTCAAGCTAGACATACAATTATTTCCCATATGTAAAAAACTCAGAACATCAGCAAAAACATACCAAGATCTTGCAACTGCTTCAGGGCTTGTGTTCCATAAGTTCTCTGAATGATGTGTGGTCTACTTTTACTTTCCTGGCAAGAAAAAATATATGACATTTTCGTTTTCTTAATAATGTCAAGATAGGGTGAAGCACTTCAGTATTTATCATATTTATTTTTTTCCACAGAATATAGTTCCACAGAACTATAGTGACAATCTGACATAGAGTCAAATTAAAGCAATGTTTGCAATTCTGAGAAAATCACAGAGCCTATGTACTTCAGACCATTCTCTGGCCTACAAAACTGAAATATAACATAAGTCTTTTGAGATTAATAAATAAATAAATCTTTAGCATTATAGAATGCAAAACATTGTTTTCCAGTAAGTCAGAGGCTATATATCTAGACAAAATCTTTCTGACAGACGAAAAGCAAGTATACAGTTAGTACGTATCACAGAAATGTGGCTTCCTAATTGCACGACAACGCAGAACTAAGAAGATAACATTTTTCTTTTCTCCTGGTTTGAAATCTGAACACACCAATAAAAAGGGAGAATATTTAATAAAGGGGAGAGTTATTTAATACTTTGAAGGAAAATACTGCACAAATTCTCTGTGTTTCTGTGAACAAAATTTTATACAGTATCTACCATACTTAACCATTCTGACTAAACCACATGCTGAAATTGATAATAGCTGTCACCAAGATCTTTATCTCACACTGGACAATCAAAGATGAGCCTCTGAGGGCTTTCTGCAGCTATATTATTTTGATCTTCAGCAGTTTTGAAAAAATATTCATCTCATCTGTCTTCTTATGGTTCAAATTTCCATTTGAATCCTCATCAGATTTCATAGCTGACCATTTTATAACTGGCACTGTATTTTAAGGATAGCTTATAAGCTGTCTGTCTTTTTTTGATTCATTTCCAAGTTTTCCTGAAATAATACACTTAGACTATTTTTCTTGAAGAGAACCTCCTAATTTTCTGTTCACTTGTGAAGAAAACACAATTTTGACAAATTCTTTTTTGTCTGCTATATGAACACTATGGTATTAAACAACATTTTGATGCAAAGTCTCAAAATGCAACACACAGCTTGCCACATGGCACATAATATCATTTCTGAGAACACTGAGATACTGGGATTTTTTTAAGGTGAAATACTTTCCACAGTATCATTTATGGACCAAGAACTGACTATTCAAATGACACTGATTCTTTTGAATGTTAATCTAGTCTACTTTAAAACTATGAAGGGTCAAAAATTTTGTAGATCTATCTCTGGTCTCTTAAGTTCAGCTCTACAGCATCTATAAAACACTCTACAGACCAGAAAGAACAAAAACATTAGGAATTCCTTGTCTCAAGGCTGCAATTTTTTTCCCCCCCAAAATAATTCAAATCTTTGAGCCATTCAAGAGGCTGAAACACACCTAGCTTTACATATAGGCTATGAAATGCAGTCAATTCTATTAACAGACAAAATTTTAGAAACAGCTGTAAGATTATAATATACTTAAGATGCAGTAACAAAAAAAAATATGGTTAACAAGGCATTTCCATAAAACAGTCCCAAATGCTGCTCCAGCACGTTCAGATGCCTGGAACTGGATAATTTAAGCTAATGGTGACCATGGACTTTAAACCTACAACCTATAGGGTAGCCAGATATTCATTAAGCATCGTGTGAAAATATAGAAGATCGAAGTAGCATCTCATTTAAGATCAAAATTAGATCCATCTTTTTTAAGAGAATTGATCAAATGACTTCCACAGCACCATTATATGCGTTTATATATCTCTGAGTTTAAGTAGCAAATCACATTTATACATACTTTTTGTCAGGCCATAATCACTTGCTATAGAAACACAATCTTACAATCAAACATGTAAAATATCAACAATTGGAAAAAAAATTAATAAGGCAGAGAAAAATCCTAAATCATTCATATGTGCATAGTTCTTGCCTTAAATAAATGTCAAGTACATATTTTAAAAGAATATATTTTTCATATGAGTGCTTGACTGAGTTGCTTCATCTACTGATTTATTCTAATACTTTCATTTGCTATTCCTTGTGTAATCTCTTTCCCAAACCAAGTAAAATACAGATTGGAATATACTTACTGCATTGTGGGTCAAATTCATTGGTTCTATCAAGTACAAGTAAGTACTGTCTTCAAACATACCACTAGAAAATGGAGAAACAAAAGACATTCAGAATTATCACAGGAATTTGATTCTAGTATAAGCTTTTTGATGAGATGAAACAAAATTTAAAGCTGAAAAACTGATCATACTAAAATAAAATCTATACATAATTGTTACTAACAAATGTGGCTAAAATGCAGTTAATTTTGTGATAGACACGGTACTTTGTAATTGACTAATATTGAATGTTAAAGGTAACATAATGGTAAAACACCATGCAGTCTTGAGAAAGAAATTAGCAGGCAAAGCATAATTAGCTTTCCTTATATTCTTCCTTACATAATATAACAAAAAGATTGCATTTTCAAGAGTCTGCTGTAACCATACTTGACTCGAGTGCTGAACTACAATTCTTGTTTATGTTCTGCCATAGTCAGTTATCTGGTGAAGCACTTACCATATTCAAATGCCTCATGAGACAGTATCAAGAATCTTAATCCTGATGGCACTAAAAAAATGAGTTAGCTTGGTACAGCTGGCACTGGTACTTCAAAACATCAAAAACTTTGGGCATGCAGAATTTCAGTCCATCACACATTAAGAGATAAGACCAAGAGTAGAAGTAGTAGTGAACTAATAGTCTTGTCTGAAAAGTAGAAAGTGCACTTACTGAAGCCCATTACAAGTTGAAAGAGCAGCTTTAGAGTCCTCGATACCCCTGATAATTCCATGATAGTAACAATGCTCTCCACCCTAACAACGTTAAAAACAAAGAAACAAAACAAAAAAGCAACACAAGAATAAAATTACTATGATGTCATACATGTTGCTTAAAACCAAGGGAAAAAAAAATACCTAGTATCTAGTATCAGATAAAATTTCAGAGAAAAGAGTGACTACTAAAGTAAAGGATAGAACACATGCAACACTGAGTGACAAGACTGTGATCCTCACGAAACAAGGTTGTGGTGGGCTGTTTCTTTTTTTAATACATACTTTTTATAGTTTCTAAATGTGTCATTTTTAGCTAAATGTTCTGGTTTGTTTTCTATCAACAGAAATCATCAGGATCTCATTATATTTAGAGAAAAAACACACACGCAACACTGACTTTCTAAAGAAAAAGGACTCATATTGTTTGAAAACATATTGCTCATCATCAAAATATTCTTAATTCTGATAAATGTTATGTATCATCTGAATTCTAACAACTATATCCACAATTAGATTCAGAGCTTGTGCAATTATGCTAACTCAAGAAATCACCAAAGATCTAAAAAATATTTGTTTAACCACATACAGCATTATTTTCATTTTGCATCTTGTTTAATAAGCTATTCAGATTCTGAATGAAATTTCTATTAGACTCTATTGGGCTCAATTAAATACATGTATCAAGGAAAAAGCAATTGCCACATATTTACTCTCCTATCAGTGAGGATGCATTATAATGACAATGCTTTATAACAATCAAATGGTGATCATTTTTATCACACAAGCAGTTTTCTGAAAATTAAGGTGAGTGAAAAATAGTGTTTGTTCTTCAGTGTTTTCACTCTTACAGTACACTACTGTGTCTTGTAGAAAATGCAGTCTCACTTCTTTATAACCACATCAGGAAACAAAACTACTATTTATCTAAGTCTAAAAAGGATTACAAAATATTGTAAAAGCTTAGGGTACAGTCCTTATTTGATCTCCAGAAACGTGTGTATATTTTTTGAACTTATAATGAAGCCTTTTTTGGATTAATGTGACCTCAAGGAGCTCCATTACTGTTTCTAAATCAATCGATTCAGAAAGCATCCCCCAGGAAGTTTGGATCAAGTTACTGCAGCATGCAAAGGTAGCCCATTTGCTGAGTCTAAAATTCTAATAAAAATTTCCAGTCAGATTCATGATTCAGCAACCGCAGTGCTCAGTGCTTGTGCTGCAGCTGACAATTGCCTGAGCTTGTCTAAATGCCAAAAGGAACCGTTTTCTTGCTTCATTTAGCACTTTTGCCCATTCTCCAGAGTATTAAGTCTTACTGAGATGAAACAATTTCCTTAATACGGGTGCATGAAGCAATTTCTTCTTTTAATGGAAGAAAACAAAATAGTATATAACAATAATTATATGGTAATATAATCACCTAACTTCAACTGAGTTTGCGATATATCATTCCATATGAAATTTTCTACAACAAAGTCCAAACAATCAATTAGATATTTAATACTTGGACAAGTAACAGTCTTACCTTGATCTGTGAGGGTAAGTGTAGTTTGAATATCTGCCTTCCTCCGCTCTTAATAGCGATGTAAAAAGTAAATAAAAACCTCCAACAAATACTCATAACAAACAGGGCTACAAATAAATTCATATCAAATTTGGAAAAAAAATCCATGAAAATGTGATTTATAAACTTCCTACGAGTCTACCAAGCTACCAAGAGCAACCCAAAAGTTTATTTGCTTCCCTTAGTCTCTGCTTAAGTATCTTGCACAATTTTATCTCTGTCTTTGGATCACTATTGTATACCACTGAATTAAATATAGGAGTTAGTCTCCTAAGTAATTGGGCATCAAGTTATACACAGATTTTGTATTAGTCCCAGAGGTAATGATATCACATAGACCTTTATTTTGTTTCACAATTGTACAATTCTTGCAAAGAAAAGTCATGGCAAGTTTGTCTTAAATTTCCATCCTCTCTGCCACTGTACTTTGTGCGAAGCACAAGTAATTAATGAAGATGATCCTCATGGTAACCTCTTTGTAGAGGCAACTAAAAAAAAAAACCGAACAAACAAACAAAACCTTATTCTGATCCGGCAATGTCTGGATTATTTTCACGGTTACTGAAGTAGTGCCACTACTAAGTGGCGGCACTGAAAATAAAACCACCACCTCTCTAAGCTTTCCTGTTGCACAGTTCTTGACGTATCACTGAGGTTACATCAGATCACAGTTACATTATACAGGTGGACAAACGTTTCTGGTGTTTGAAAAGTCTTGGAAAAAATTCTTTTAAAGCACTGCATTAGTACTGCTCCTGCAGAGGCAAAATCCTGCTGTATATTCAGAGCACAATACCTTAGAAAATTTCTGCTTTCCATCTTCATAGTGAATCTCCACATAATTGGATGATAACAAATCACTGTCAAGAAAAAGAAACCAAGTGAAAAAAAAAAAAACCCAAATATTCTTTTCTACTTTCACACTGCGTTAGTTAGGAGCCCCAAATCATTTTTAACTTTCCTATAAATTGGTTAAAAAAAGTAAGCAGCTTGTATCCAATGGTTTACTGATGCACTGTGATGTAGAGTGTGTTTCAGACAGAATTATTCTGCAATTCAATTGCCTTTATTTTAGCTTCACAGTAAGATTATCATTCTTTTAAATACAGGGAAAATTTCAATGACTTTTGAATTATTTTGTTGCTAACTGCTATTGATGAAATGTATGCTTAGTTTGTTGCTTTCAAATAAGTTTTATATGTGATCTAAAAATGACACAATATATGTAAGACTGGACAAATACATTTGTCTTCAGGAGCACGATGTAATTTGTACACTTTTATCTGTACTTCATCCAAAAACCTTGAACTTTTTCTTAGTGTTTTAACATTCTCAAATAAATAAATAAACAAATCACTATCCCTTTTTCTTCCTCAACCCTTCTTCTTAAATCCTCCTCTCACTTTTAATTCTTCACAAACCATTCTGGTAAAATACAACATTTCTAAAGCATAAAAGGTCCCCACACTGGGGAGGCGGAGCGGGGAAAGCAGAGCAGTCTTAATTTCTTTTTTAAAACACTAGGCAGTCTGTGCATATTCAGAGATAGCTTCAATGCCCCATTCAATTCTCAACTCACAATTAAAAACTCAATTAGTATCAGAGTTGGAACATACTGGCCTGGGAACAGCAAAACAGTTAAACATCTTTTCAGGCGCTATGATGTATGTAACACGAATTTTAATGTATGTGGTCTCCCTCAGCATTTTTCAGGTTTCTGACCTCTGAGAGCCTTTACCTTTCTCAGTTAAAAATTCATGGAAGGCTCTGGTTGTGACACAGATATGAAAAATACTGCTGCTATGAATAATAATAAAATCCTTATGAAAGCCTGATCTGACAAAACAGTTCTGATGGAAATTCATGACTAAAAACAACTTGAAATAACGGATATCTCAAATACAAGTGAGGCTATTAGCAATCCTTATTACACTTTTATTCTAGGACTATTCGCTCATAAAATCAATTCTTCATGTTGCATTTATCAGGCTTTATACTTACCAGAGAACTTCTGTAGAATTAGTTATCAATGATTCTCTAACAGCCATTTTTCATGGTACTGAGAGAATATGGGCATTGCTTGTACATGCAAAACCAACAGGAACAGTCATGGATAACCAGCAAATTCTCATCATTGGCCTTAACCTTAATCTTTATAACATTATTTTAGAGATACACTTTTAATGTGCAGATTTAGAAACAAATCTAATTGCTTAAAATCATTTTAAAATTTACTTGCATCATGGTAAATTTTAATTTCTTGTAAAACAATACAACACTTCATAACTCTTGAGTATAATACAGGATTCACTACATTTAATTTGGCAAAGTTTGAAGCTTCTAAACAGGAATGCATACACAACATATCAGTACTTGAAAGTACTGATAAATCCCTTTTTTGTTTAAATTTTACACTGTTATTCTGAAGCATAAGGTCAGCTGTCCTTAATTACCTACTAGGATGATCTAAACAAGACTAGAGACAACTGAGAATCAGGAAATTCTCATCAAGATATACACTAAAATAAACAAAACAAAGAAAGAGAGGTGATGATTAAGCATTGTAATAAGATCCCAGAGAATCTGAGAAAAGAGCCCTGCATAATCCAAAGGAGCAGGACACGACGACCTTCAGAAATCCATCCCAACTTTAATTATTCTGTGTTTCTAACCGTAGTTTTCTTCAACCCTACATTGCAGTCCACTGACAGAATTTATAGTCTCTATAGTAGCTCTAATGAAGTTGAAGTGACAAACAAGTAATAAATTTGCTTGTCTATTGAAAGTTATGTTCATGGTACTATACACAAGATTTTTATAGCTGAAAGTTCAAGTCTTGAAGTTGTTTTTTTTTAAACCTGTTGCTTGAAACTATTACACACAAAGGTTTCTCATTACAAATCTGCCCTCAGCTTGCATTCAGTATTAGCTCACACATCAGAACCTTCTCTCCAGTGTCAGTGCTTGCTTTATCTTTCCTATTTTAGCACCAAAAAGAAAGAGCTTTTCCCAGAGGACACCAACAGACCTGAGATTATTAACACTTTGTCTTGGATAACTGTCTCTATCAAGTTGCTCTGCCTCACTAGCTCTACCCAAATTATATTGGGAGATGACTTAAAAGCTAAACAGGCAGCAAAGGAACATGTCCTTTCTCTTGGCTGCCTTCTTTGAAGGCACAGGACAGCAACATGCAGCTCTCATCCACCTCTGGGGCACACATGCCACTGCTGTGGTCACCATCAGGGAGAGCTACAGTGTGACAAGCAGCTACTCCAGGTCCTGAGGCTTTGAACTTAGTCAAAGATCTTCAGGAGAGCAGAGCAACATTTTTTAATTAGTGCAGAGGAATCCACAATTTAAGGACTTGAAATTCAGATATTGCAACAGAGTTTCTATGACTAAAATCATAAGCTGTCTCCCACTAACATTAAGGGAAATGAACACTTATGTTATAAGTATTTGCCAAATGAGATGAAGAAAAGGCTGTCTCTCTCTGTGTGTTTTTCCTATCCCCCAAAAACTAAATTTTAAGGGATACTTTCATCTTGGCTTTTTTTGGCTTCTGTTTCTATCCTGCTGACATGCTGAATTCCCTATTGCATGCCTTTGCCTCAACCTCTAGAATCTCTGGAGAGGAAGGCTCTTTGCACAGCTCTTTGTTAAGAGATTGGCCTGAACCATCAGCCAAAAAAACTGCTGTTCCTGCGCAAAAGGCGCTGCAGCTAACTACTCTCCTCACTAGAAAAGCAGGAAGTACCTATTTTTAATTCACTGCTTTTGATAATATAGTTTGTCTCTAACTTGTATTAGCTTAACAGGAAACAATTCCACCTAGAAACACTTGTCCTTTAACTTAAAAGTAACAACATGAAAGTCTTTTATATGGTAGTTAAAGAGAGCAAAGAGTTCATTAGAGAATAATTTATCACCTCACATATAGGTTTATACACATAATATATAAATGACACAAAGGATGAAAAATGTTCAAGTGTACCACAGATCGTATTTTTGTCTTCAAACTCAGTGCTGTCAGTGCAATTTTTTTATATATATATATTATATATATTATATATATATAAATGCAAAACTTGTTAAAAAATTTCTTAAAGATTGGGAGTTAAGACCAATACAAATGTTACTTGTTTGATACGGAATATTTAATTTGGGCAGACAATCACAGCTGAATTATAAGGATTTTACTTTTCAAATGGAATTAATTTTATCCCACTAGAATCCAATTATCTTTCATTTTTGTACTAAGAGCATTACTTAATTCATTGTAGATGAGAAGAAAAGTATCACTATTCATGTTATTTTCATTATCTGCAACCATTATGCCCTGATGCCACTAATGACATCAAGTTGACAGCCTAAAATTAGTCAAACATTTAAATGGGACAAAGGGCAAAACATTTATTACTTCAGAGCTGACCCACCTTGCTAAACAGCTCAAACTTCTAATTAGCCTCTTTTTTTCCAAATCTTGTCAGCAAAAACTACCAGCAATGTTCTTTATGATAATAAACTCCTATTTGTATGTTATAACTACTAAGGTATTTGGTATGTCTTATCAACAAGCTTCGGCAGAGATGGGGCTAATTACTCCTTCAAGCTCCATACAAGTAAAATTTTGTGTGAACAACCAATTTTATTAAACAGCAGTTGGAATATAAAGAGTAAACAACTGCAGTTTCCAACAACGGCAAACTAAAGACTTCAAACTGAAAGGCATTTCTAGGCAGCAACCATTCTCTGATTTTAGTTTTACATACTTGAACAACTTTCAGAAACAAAGGTAGTGAGACAAAAATACTGACAAAACCAGAACAAACGCTTAACTTAGACATATATATATTTCACAATTTTTTCTAGATGTTGAATACCTATCCTACATATGAGAGTAGATTATTTTGGATAACAGACTATAACAGTTCAAGCCAACAGTTCAAGTCCACCTTTTCTTCTCCTCTGAGCAGGACAACTGACAAAATTCAATATGATCCAACACTATGGCAAAAGACATTTTGCTGAAGAAACATAACAGAAATGCAAAAATTGGTCTTACTGAATTGATTACCTAGGAGTGTTCGTGACTTATAATGCTGTAAGTCTTAAAACTTACAAATATGACATGCCATACAGAGAAGAGGGACTTAAAAAAAATGAGCATGAGTTCTGGATAGAACAGAGATTAATAGTTGAACATTATGAGTCAGAAACAGCAGAGGTGGAGGATGGTTAACATTACAAGGATACGTGGAATGTGAGGATATCCAATTTACTCTGCATGGGTCCAACTCCAAATCTCATAATGTAGTTTTTTTGGACACAGAACACCCAGGCATCTTCAAGGACTCTTTTCCTTTCCATTCTGCTGTTCACCGATTTTGTACAATATCATATCCTGCCAACCACTGAAGACATTTTAAAAGACAGTGCTAGAAGAGAAGTCTAACTTTAAAATCATGCATACATGAGGGTAAAGGTTTTTAGCTTAATGCAAAACATCAGATATCTAAAAGATGAGAAGGAGAGCGTGTGAATCTAATAGTTCAGCAAACTTTTAGAAGTCAGAACTTGTTCCTTCGAAAAGCTATTGGATTTGATAAGGTTGCATATTTCTCCATAGCAAGATTTTCACTAGAGTTGGCAGGTAAAAACAAAATAAGACCTCAGATGGCCCTCAAGAATATTGCAATATTTTTTAATCACTGATACGCAATTGCTTCTGTGATTTTTTTTTTTCTTTAAGTGTGCTGAAAGACTGATGGACATCAGAAGCTGAAGATGCACTTTTATTCGATACTTCAGATAATTTTGTCTGCCAGGTGATTTTATACTTTTACTTTACTCTTAAACTTTCTCAATGTAAATTCTTAAAGTGCTATGAAAACATTCATAGTTCTATGGTTTTTTTTAGAAAAACAAGCAGTTTCATAGTACCTCTAGCTAAATATATAAATAGATGTGATACAACCAAAGTCACAGAGATGTATATTACAAATCAGATGACTTGGACCTGCCAATGCTGTTATTTATCTTACTGCTAAACAGAATCCAGCTGCAACTTTCGATGTAGTCAGTCCCTTAAGATACCTGTTTCGTAACAAACTTGCTGATTATAATGACAGTGCAGCATTTTCCAGGTCATTACAGATCAGTCATTCACAGAGGTATTTACAATATTACTACACACCAACATGAATAACTAAAGGAAGACTCACCTACATTACAGTTCATCAATAAGTCAAAAAAACTTTCAAACACTAGTGGTAATGAAAGCTCTCCTGTTACAAATCTAGAAGATAAATGACATCTAATTTTTGCCCCTTCAAGTGGAGTAAATAGTATCAATAAGACAGAAACTAAAAATACATGTTACTTTCCTGAATCAGTCCAGTATAGAGATATAAATAAACGGCAACGATGATGACAAATAGCTCTATTCACAGTCCAAAATGCTGAACCACATTTTTCCATGCTTTAAGTAAAGATCATTTAAACTAGCATATATATCATTTCATGAAACATTTTTTGAGTGAATGTTTTATACATCATTTTCTGAAACGTTTCTCATATTAATCTCTCTTCTACAATATTTCCATTTGTTTAGTACACTGGCAACAACTGGCAAGCTGTATTATTGGCAATTTGGCAGTTTTCTACATTTTTCTACTAAACATGAAGCTTATTCCATGCTTTCTATTATTCTTATTACAGATTCTGAGCTTGTAGGACATTAGTAAAAAGCAAACATTCTGCAATGACTTGTGTTACATCAAAATGTAAAGAAACATACTATATACAAGATATATAGAAAATGAAGTTCCTCTGTTTTCATCATTTTGATTACCATAAGTGGCTGATGGTTTAGCAGCCAATAATTTAACCACAGTTGAATTGTGAGGTTCAAGTCATAAATGATAAATATAGTTACTGAACCTGTATTAATACAAAGATCAATACTGAACCTGTATTAATACAAAGATGCCCTTAAGTTCCAAGGGCATAAACTGTTTTATATTTTTATCTTAATATAGCATTACTTTTCCCGAATGACAAAATTTAAGGCTATGTCATTGGTGTCAGCAAGGTAACAGTTACCTTACTTTAAAATAAGCTGAATGCTGTTTATATTAATCAACCTGCATAAAAGGATATTTTTCCATAGAACTTGGGACTGCATGTGCCCTGGTATTGTATCACAGAAGTTAATAACAGAACAGGACAGAAAGAAATTTCTGAGTGTGCACTCACTTATTCAATACGAGGTCAAGGATGAATTTGGAGCCAAAGGCCTCAATTTGGAAACTTGCCTGGGCCAGATGGACAGCCTGTAAACATGAATACACAGAAGTACTTTAGAATTTTGCAAAACAAAGTTTTCAAAAGAACTACAAAGTTTACACAGCAAATATTTGCTATAAAATCTTTGAAAAAAAGTGGAAAATACGCTTATCCTCGTGAATCTTAAAAGAAGATGAAATCTTTGCCCTTGCATTTGGGTAAATTACAAAATGAATTTGGATTCAAAAGGATTTCTTTTGTAGGAAAGAGGGACGTTGAAGGAAAAAAAGAGAAGTAAATAGTACCTTCAAGCACACAGACAGGCAAGTCATTCCTTACAAAATTAATTCACCTTCACCACAAAAAAATCAGAGCATTCCTACAAATATCTGCAGTGTTTGTTGCCAAAAATAGATAAGCCTGTAAGCAATTAAGTACACTTCTCTGTTAACTATGTTATTGGAGTCAGCAACATAAAAATGAATCGATTATTAAAGCACTTGTGATACAAGCCTTCAAACACAAATTAATGGCAAAGTTCGCATTGCACGTTATGAAGGTCTTCTTCAAAGTAAACCTTTCACAACCAAAGGCCTCGTATTTGGCAATGCTATCAAATGAATCGATATGTGACTGTTGATGCTTAACATGCAGCACAAGCCCACTAGCTTGTCTTGCATATGAAGTTAACTAACTTTTATGAAATTCAATTCTTGTCAAATATACTGTATTATTTCGCCTATTGTTTCTATACTGCTGTGACTGAAGGTGAAAGATTTAAAATGTATTCATCTGTTTTCTAGCAAAATAAGGAGGACAACGGATCTCAAGCAAGAACTTGGTTTTGTGAAGACAGGTTTCCAGCAGTCAAGAAGAGATTAGATCCATATATCATATAACCTCTCTCTTGGAACACCTCTTGAAAATCAAATCATTCTTACTTATAACCCGAAGAGATAAAAATTAGTAAATCAATAAAGTTGGAATATTATGTCTATAACCATAATCAAAAGAAAAATATACTAGTGTTTATTATATACCAAAATGAATCTTTAGATACGCCATAAAAATGATATAAAGCTCTAGTAGTTTTTTGGCAAATTATAATTAATAGTTAGCTTTAAAGGCCCACAAAGCCTGTAATTTTGTTTTGCTTTAGAATTTTCCAGAAAGAATAAGTTCTTTGTGCACCTCTGCCATCCCTGCACTACTTATAGTAACACTGAGTATTCATCATCTTTAATAAAAATCTTCTCTGTGTGTGTGTGTATATATTTTTTTTTAATTCCACATGTTGCTATCATGTCTAAATTCAGCTGGGATGCTTCCTGTTTATCTGTTCTTGGGCCACATTCTTTGCCTCTCAATTAACAAGAGCCACAGAACTAAACAAGAAATTTTCTAAAAATTCCTAAAAAACAGATTTTAAAACAATATTAACAAATATGTGTACAGTAAAATAGAACTGAACTACATCATCACTCCCTGTTGCACCTTTTGTTGAATCAAAATTGAAGACTTTCTCAATAGTTTAACATTCCAGGGAGATAACACTGACCAGGTGAACTGAGTTGAACAGTTGAAACAAACAGGTATCTTGATGGAAAGGATTTGTTGCAAGGATGAAGCTATATTTAAAATGGCAAAAAAACCTTACTTCAGTTCAAAAGCATTCCTACCATAAAGGCCTTCTCAGCTCCTGCTTCTACTTCTTTCTACACAGTGAAACTAAGGGAAAAGTGCCAATAGGAGTTTTTCAAACATCTATTCATAAGAACGTGTGTTCAATCTTTAAGTAGACCAAAGAAATCATGACAAAAAATACATATAATGTTCTGTTTCCATCAAAATACACAATCTCATGAGTTTTTAAGAAATAGTCAACATTTTTTGCAGGAAATTGGTCACTATTAGTGACCATTACTCCCCTTTAAAGAGTTATAGGAGCTGCTGATTTGAGTCTCCTATCCATGAAAAATTCATCTAAAATAATGACTAACTGTCTTTGAATGTATGCTACCAACCAGACTTCAAGGGTGAGGCAGAACCTTTTCTTGAAGGTTCTAAAGCATCAACTATATACTTCTTTTGCTTGTGCCATCTATAGCTATTTAAAGTAACTTTTATTCTCTGTCTATAGTTACACCAAAAAAAAGGTTTATCTTGTAGTATTAGATATAGCATTGCTATTTCTGAAAACAATAATTCCATATATAAAAATACCATTTGCTAACTATTGCTGTGCCTCACTTAAAACAAAAACAGTCTGTACACATAGGCAATTATTTCAAAGTAGCTGACATGCAGTAATTTACTACCCTGCAGCAAGGAATGCTCTCCAACAAACTCTGCTCAAACCACTGCTTGTAAAAGGCTTTAAATCTTGGCAGGTTAGCAGAAAAATGGTTTTGAATTCAGGTAAATCTGACACTTCACTGCTGTAGTAAAATAGAGATCTTGCTTAAGCCAATCAATAATAGGTAGTCACCCATGGAAGCTAGGAGCTTGCAGTTAAATTAAGATAATGAGACTAAACTATTTCATCCTGAAACTGATATTTTTCCAGTAAAAAGATAGCACAGAAAGTTACCGGGGAGCTGTTACTGTGTGTTTTAGCCATAATAACTGTCAAGTAGCACTGTGACAAGAGAATTATGTCAAAAAAAAAAAAAGATTTTCCTATGCACTTTACCATTTAACAGTATTCCCTTATCTGCCTACTTTTCAAAACTCTAATATAATGATTTAAGTATAATTCTTCTTCCAGTTAACAGAAATATAAATTTCACAAGAATATAAGGCATATTTAAATCAGTTTTGTGAGATTATATATGAACTATATATGAAAAATACTGCATACGTACTACTTTTATCATCTGCATACATATATGAGTTTGCACAGAGTACTCTTAAGTACACACAAGACACTAAGTTGCTAGGAAACATGGATATAGATCTACTGGAAAAAAAGATGGGATAAGGAAGGACCAATTTCAACTCCTGTTAGCTGGACCACTGAAAATACAGTTTACAAACAAGAGCTTCTAGCTTGCATGTAAATTCATTTTAGAATCAAAGATGAAAAATTATGCATAAAAGTATCAGTATTGGCAATGAGAGAGTTCATTTCACGGCAAAGAGCCATAAAATGAATACAGGATTTTCATGGAGTGAAATTGTAGAAATATCTTCACAGTCAAAACAAATGACAGAAATATGCAGCAGTAGTAGTAGTTAGGATACGTAGAGTAGTTTTATTAAAACACAGCCTTCCCCTTCTTCCTACCCTATATGCCCTTTCCCCCATACTCCCCCCAAAAAACACATTATCAGTTTCAAATTCTGAATGAACAGATAAGCAATACTGCTTCTCCAAAACTTTTGAGAATTTAAGATTTTACTGATTCTTTCCAAAAGTTAGAAACTGTCCAGCAGATATATCCTTTTTCTTCATAAATGCCCAATTCAAGTTTTTCCTCCCATCCTACTCACAATTAGGTAAGGTTTCCCTGAACTGCATTTCCCTGACAATCCAATAATCCTGAGATCCAATCTTGTGCTTTTTGTTGGACCATGATAAGGATTTGCTCCTAGCATTTTGGGAAAAAATCTGCACCATGAAGTCTTCCCATTAAGTCCTAAAAAACTTGTATGCAGGTGGGAAACATGTATTAAAGCAGTCATTAGGGCTGATAACGGGGCTATCATTTCATTCAAATTGCTACCTGCATGTGCAGAAGTTTAGAAAGATTAGAAAGACAGACGCAGAATACAGATGACTCAGAGCTCCTTAACAAGTTTAAGGATTCTTACAAGCTTCTTTAGTATGTTTTTATAAACAGACGCTCATTTCTAAGCATCTCACTTTAAAAATAATCTCAGAAGATCTCAAAGAAAACAGTCAGCCTTAATTCAAGTATGGAAAAAAAAAATAAGAGCGAGAGAAAGAATAAGAGAACAAGAACTTAAGAGAGGGCAATCCTACCAACAATTTAGATCACATTTAGATCACCCTTTCATGATGATGGAATGTACACTTCAACAAATTCAAGAACAGAATGAAGATAAAGAGAATCAATTCTAAGAAAATAATTTATAAATTTAAACTTCCGATTCTCTGGTACAGTGTCTTCTTGACCACTCCTTTATCTCTACGACATATTTCATGACAAAGGTTGCAGATCATTACTTTCAAAAAGAGAATTCTAACGAAAAAGGAAAAAAAACAGATTTTAAGTCATTTTATGTATTTCTCTAGAGGTATCTTTTTTTTCCCACACATGCATGCAATTTCATCAACTATTCTCTCTCCTATAGTGACTCAGCATTTTCAAGGCATTCACAGGCTTAAGACCAAAACTATCCATATGGCTTATACTCTTCTGCTCACTATAAGGAAGACCCATAAAAAGAATTTATCAGATAATATCTGTAGTTAGGAACTGGTTTAGTATCATAAGTCCTTAAATAGTTCATTAAGCCTCACAAGTATATTCATGTCAAACAATGCATTTTTCTAAGAGCACTTAAAAATAGGAGAAGAATTTTTCTTCCTCAGTATTGCACACGGCCATCATGCCGGTCTTTGTTCTCACGTGCACTCCTCTTCACTCCTAAATACAGGTTTCTTTTTGTTCAGCCATGAAGTTATTCCGGTTATTTTCTTTCATTACCAGCATGAGAGACGGTAAAATCTCCTAATCAGGAGATATTATAATATACCATTTATTTTAAGTCTGGAAAAGGATAAAAGCAAATGCTAAGATATCCCCAACAAAATCAAAATCCTCCTGTGCACCTTTCACATTTCCATTGCACCCTCTTTTTGAGTTACTTCCATTTTGCATCCTCAGCATCTTTTTTCCTCAACTATTGTTCTACAGAGACGACTGTTAATCTTTTTTAAACATTGAACAGTAAGCCAAAATGTTCCATGTTACGTTATGGTCCCATAGGTGGAAAAGCAGGGAATAAAGGATTTCTGCAGAGAAAGGCAGAAGATGCAAGCTGGGGAGCAGAGAGTGAAACATTCTGCTGCTCTGGAAGCAGAAGATGCAAGATCAATCTGGTCAAGGAATAAAATCAACCCTTTCCTTCAATTAGATGGATCAAAGCGATGGAAGTTTCACGCTTCAGAAGAAAGAAGTCAGTGTAATGCCACACTCTCCATAAAGCATCAGACTTAAAGAACCTTCTGAGACCACTGCAGGGTTAGCAGGAATATAGAGAATAGAAAGGAGAACCACTTTGCACAATGCTTAGCACCAAACATACCCAAGGAAATCAATGTCAGTTCCATCAGCATTGATTTCTGAAGAGCTTTACCCCAGGAGTTTCAGATAGGGTAGGGCAAAGGAAGGAGAGGCAACAGCAAGCAATGTTCTTGTGGGAATGCTAGGTAAGTAATGAGATAAGCAGACATTCTCTGCTGTGTATTCTTTCTCCACAGAAAGAGAAAAAAAAGGAAAAAACAACAACAAAAAGCCCCTCAGAACTGATGTAGAAGCATGGAGGAAGCATTGTTCTCAAAGGCAGGTCTACAGCCACTTCAAGATTGCAAATGCCTTTCTTTTCACACCATTTTCCAAAGAGAGAGAGTCTTCAGGATTTGCATGTTTTCCTGAAAATAGTGGTCTCACTTTAAAAGGCCCCACAAAAAATTAATCAACTGAAGAAAGGAAATACCCACAAATTTAATAATGTGCAGCTTTAGGAGAAAAATCACAATTCCTAAGGATTTACATTTTTTCCATGTTTCTAGAGATTGCAGTATGTTCAGGGAAGTGTTTGTTTTTAAAAAAGCACTCGCTACTCATTTCTTACTAAAAAGACATTTAGAGAGACAGTTCTAACCTCACCAAGAGAAAAAAAATAAGTTACTTCAAAGAGATACCGTTTTAGTTTAGACAGTAGTATTCTTTTAAGTAGCTCCATTCTCCAGGAGAGAGAACAGGGGAGCAGCTTTTCTGTGTGCCATCAGCAAGATACTGCCATACTTGAATGCATCCCATGGCACATGCTTGGGAAGCTAGGAAGCAACCCTTCCTAATCAAAACATCCAAACTACGTAACAGCAGCTTCTTCCCTAAAAATTAGAGAATAACTCCACATTTTTACTTCAGTCTGAAATACTCCATAATAAATATAAAAGTAGTATTATGTTATGCATATTAAATTCACTGTCTAAAATTTCAAATGATTTAAATGATTTCAAATGATATTAATGACTAGGGACTCCAATATATCCAAGTCTTTCAGTAATATAATGCATACTGATCTAACTTCAATGTGTCTTCTCCCCTGTGTTGATCTTCTGTTCTTATACGAATCTTCTTCTATATTGCCTTTTTAATCTATGAAAGAAGATAGTTTCCTGCAAATTCAAGCAAGATTTTTTTCACTGAAAACAAAAAATTGTAGGTGTTCAGGGCCTGGTTGCTACTTTTGACAAAGAAATAGTAGAACTTTTCAATAGTTTTCACTGGTCATACACCAGCAGCAAAAAATAACTTCATTTATTAGGTACTCGATGACAAGCTCAAAACCAAGAAATTTATGCTTTAAGTTAAGGATCCTAAAGAAATCCCCTTTGCAAAAATTTGAACAGTGAATAGCTCTTTTGAAAGGTGCATTTTGCTGGTGATTGTGTAAGTCAAGACACTGGAGCCTACTCTAATCAGACAAGCCAGCATCATGTAATTCCTATTCAGTTTATCTACAGTTCAGCATCTGAACCAACCTGAAATTTAAAATTGTTGTTCTTAATTAAAACAAGAGGAATCACATCCTTATTTAATTACTTGCCCTCCTTTAATTCCTAAAAACGATGGCAATTTAAGTCTCAGAGATCGGCAGAATAAGACATTCTAACATCGTTACACATCACATACTACCGTTTTCAAAATTCTGTAGGTTGGCCTCTTTTTACCCTACCTTGTTGTGTTTCTGCTGGTGCCTTGCTCTAGTATCCAGGATATGGTAAGGGGTTTCAGAGTCTCTGTTGATATAATAGATCAGTCTTGAAGGCAGCGTGATTTCTTTCTGTATTGCGTTGCTGTGGCTGTTGTTTTCATTATTACTGTTTTTATTCTGTTGAAATGCAGGCTCTTCATCTGCCAGTCCCCCCTCCATACTGCTTGCCGTTTCATTCCAATGCAGGTCTGAGGAACAGAGACATACCAGCCATAAATTAGACTGCAGAACATGTTTACTTCCATGAAATACAGCTATATATTTTATCTTGCAATAGTCTAATATTTTTATTCACTCAAACAAAAAGCAAGCTTACTCAGGGAGTTAGATTTAATTCATTTCCGCACATAAAATGGTTGCAGAAACAGCATTATTTATTTAAACACCTGTGTATTTTCACATGCAGTCATGGATCATAAATTTTTTAATACATTTATCTTCCAAAATGAAAAAATACCAAAAAACTCACATCAAATAACTCCCTTTAATGGCTACGGATCCATCTCCTGCATACTGGTTTACTAGCTAAGTTTAAGTTCTCTTTCCTTCCACAACACATGCACATCTACACGTACATTTACAAAATGACCAAAACAGCCTGAATTCAGAGCCCGCGCGCCCTGAAAGCTGATCAATTCCCTTTACATAACACCAAGTATTCCTTTCTTTCTCTTCTAACTTCGAGCCTGGCAGGAGCCGTTCTCCCCAGGAGCCTTTTCCATCTGAAAACGTTTATCTTCCCCGATCCCGATTCCAGCACGCAGCGAGCCAGCAGGCAACGCAACCAGCGCAGCGTGACTCAGAAGGCAACTACACCCAACTTCCACGTATCACTTAGGCCTCGATTAAAGAGTAGATAGCACCCCCAAAACCACTTTTTCTCCTTTATTTTATTTTTTTCCTTTTTTTTTAATTTTTTTTAAATTTTTTTTGGGGGGTCGCAAAGCAGCCTGCGCTGCGGCACCTTTCCCTGCACCGCTCCCCCTCTCCTGCCCGCACCGAGACACCCACCGGCGGCCGCCGCAGCCGAGCCAGCCCCGGGGCAGGAGCCATGGAGGAGGAGCAGGAGCAGCAGCAACGGCGCCGACAGCGGGAGGAGGCGGCCGAGGAGCGCGGGGCAGCCGGCGGCGGCGGGGAGGCGGCGGCGGCCGCAGCAGCCGGGCGGCCGCAGGGAGCTGCTGCCGGGCGGCTTCATGGCTCATAGCGGCCCGCGGGGCGGCCGGGGGCGGCGCGGGGCCCGGGGGCGGCGGCTCCCCGCGCGGGCGGCTCCGCTCCGCTCCGCTCCGCGCCTCGCCTCGCCGCGGCAGGCGCCCGTTACCTCAGCGCCGGGGCGGGCGGGCGGGGCGGCGCGCGCGCAGCCGCTGCGCATGCGCATGCGCGGCGGGCGCTGGCCGTGGTGCTGCGCCCTGAGAGAGCCGCCATGGCGCCCGCCTCACCTCGTGGCCGCGGCCCGCTTGTCTTCCCCCCGTCTCTCCCGTCCGCCACCCCGAGCGGGATGCGAGTCCCTGTCCCTATCTTCCCCTTAAATATTTTGGATTCTCATCGCCTAAGCATACACAAAACCACCTTTATCAGAGCCATGTGTATATACAAACAACACGGACACAGAGCCTTGTGAGAATAAAAAGGAGCCTGTTTTTCCAGGCTACCAGACACCCCTTCTGTGTGTTTGCCTTGAGCTTGCCTATGTAACATATATAATGCCGTTTCCAGCATCCTTGCAGCATTCCAGGTGCGCCCAGGTACCTGCTCCCACCAGAGCAGGGCTGGGGGCACCAGCCCCACACACCCACCCTCGCCAAAGGGCCCCCAAGGCCTCATTAACACTAATTAGGACCTGACACACACAAGCTGTGCCTCGTTCCCTACTGAGGGCAGGGAGCACACCCCTGCCTCCTGTTCACGCTGCTTTTACCTTAAGGCCACCTGCCTCCTGTTCACACTGTTTTTACCGCAAGGCCACCTCTGTCAGGGTGTGAGCTGCAACACCAGGAGCAGGGACACCGTGTCCTCGCCGTCAGCCCTGCGGCAGAGATGGGGCAGGCAAGGGGGAGAGGTGGCGGCCGAGCCTGCCCCAGCGAGAGCAGCCACCGCCTTTCCCCTTGTAATCGGGGCAGGCAATTCCGTGGCTGAGACGGCGCGGAAACTCGCTCTTACGGCGCCAAAAATTGCAAGAAAATCATTTGAATATTTCCAAACCCAGCTTATGAGCTTCCTGCAGAGCAAAATTGCTTTGAAAATTGGCAGCCTAAAGCAGGAGTTGGAGGAGATTCTGGGAGAAAAGAGGAAGCAGCACATGGATCAGCTTGTTCTTCTCCAAAGTACTGAGGCAGGCATTTCTCCCTTCCTTGGGAAGCTCTGCACACACACAGATAAGGCAAATGAGCCATTGCACAACTTGCAATCCTCATATACTGCAGAGGGCTGGAAAAAGCCCTTCTCTTTAGCTCTCACACTTAGGGTCTTCTCTGCAAGACTTCTGTGGGACTTCAGGCTCTTCTGTGCTCCCTCCTGAGACCTCTAGTCAGTGGGCTTGATCCTTCCAGCTCCTCAGTCGTCCCTTCTTTTGTTCATGTGTCCCCTTCAGACACTGCTGTAAAGTGAATTAGAGGCCAGCTTGTAAGGATAATGGTTATGCAATTAAGATCCAAACGTTACCAAAAGAGAGAACGTTGACAAAGAAAAAAATGGATATATGTACATACCATAAAGTGGAGCGCTATAGGAAGATTCAGAATCAGCTTGCAGCCTGGTGCAAATCAGTACCAGGGTGCTGCATATGCCAGCAGACAGCCTGGGCCATGAACAGAAGCGTTAGTGCCTTCCTTTAGAGCAAAGAGCATCTCTTTTACTTCAGTCCAGCAGGAACTAGCAAAAGTGAAGAATATTTGCAAAGATAAAAATAACTTCAAAGAGATACCATAAGATTAACCTGCTTTCATTCTGTGGCTTCAGGAGTCAGAAAACATTGAAGTTGACTTACTTTAGAGACAAGCTTAGATATTGAGTTCTTAGCACACATTTTGCCCAACAGACTTCTAATATCCCAAAATAGATATGTTTTCTTTCAGTGCAAGTCTTGCTGCTGAGGAAATAAAGTGTTTCTCTTTTTTGTCCTTTCTTTTTTTTTTTTTTTTTTTGTGTGTGTGTGTGTGTGTGTGTGTGTGTTTGTGTGTGTGAATCCGAGTCTGGATACCAGATGAATTTCCAGGAAGATACAAATTTCCTCTGCCTCATGTAATTTTTTTTAGAAACACAGAACTAATGGAAGCTAGAATCCCCCTCTGAATTCATTATAATTGTTAATACAGAAAGAATAAGCAGTTTTATGAATCATTGCAATGCAGACCATTTTATAGCAGTAGTGTTTTGAATCTGAAAAATGAATACCTTAAGCTGGGCAAACAGGTGCTGCTGGAACAAGATCAAAATTTAAGTGTGTGATGGCATAAAACAAGTAGAAGACAAATCCATGGAATGGCTGTGTGTGAAAAATAGCAGAAATCATGCCTTAGGATTTCTGAGTTATTTGGGTTCAGGAAGAAAATGATTCCAATTTTCTACCAAAATTGAGTTTTCCTCAAAAGCCCTTTGCCAGATGCTTTCCATATAGTCTAAGCCTAATCAGATAACGTTAGAACCTTTCAACCAACAGCAGCTCATGTTTTATCCCTATAAATATATAAACAGAGCAAAGAACTAGTCATGTTAATGCATCTATATCAGGAAAAAAAAAATCCCTCAAAATATTTTGGGAGCTAAGAACAAAGACTGGAATGTCTGTACAATTATAAAATAAAGGCCAGAAGCTAACTTCCACTATTCTATAAAAATACATGTCAAGCAACAATGAATGGTAAAAATACCTGTTTCCTGAAACCACCCATTTTTATTTTTACTCCTCAATTTTTGAGGGGGAAAATAGAGATAGGTTCATTCTCCAAAGCTTATCTAGGGCAAAAGTTTTCTAAAATCCTTCTAGGTCAAGCAGAAGATTGTAACAGAAGAAAATTCATGCAACTGTTTCAAGCAGGCGTGCTTAGGCTCCCAAACCCTTTTGGGTACGTAACTCAGAAGCTATGTTTTACACAACAGCTACAAACCTCCAGGTAGTCACAGGCGATTCATGGTGCATAATCAGCTCCAGGTGAAATATCCCACTAAGACAGAGAGCTGCTTTTTTGAAAACTGCTTTGATCTTTGAAAGAGAGTGTGAAATATTCCCAAATAGACTGTACTGCGGATGTCTGAAACCAAAATATGAGAAGCATGGATTGTCGTAGCTACATCTGTATCCAATGAAAGAAAATGAAAGCTCCCAAGTCAGAACAACTCGGGAAACTACTGATAGCCAGTGCTTCAAGACTAGCTAAGGGGCAAACTCATTACATAAGGTACATGCCTTCAAGCTGTCTGATAAGTAGAATCTACCTCATATCTCCAGATTATTGCCCAGAGCTTTTAAATTCATCACTCCTTTATCAGGATGGGGGTCAGTGAGCACATGGGATGGAAATCTGTGCCGTGCTACAATTCAAATCAGAAGGGCTGCCGAGTCAGAACTGCTGATAACAGTCTTGGCTGTTCATACCTAATAGCCAGTCAGGAAGCACTAGTCCAGATTCTATTAAATCAGTAACAAGATAAAACTATTCAGCAAAATCAAATTCCTTTTCTGATACCATCTGAGGAAAGAATAATGTCAGTGTACCACTTCACTTGGGAAAGTCTCTATATAGAATAAGGTTTTAATTAACGTGGAAGACATAATACCTTTGACCGTACAAAGAGCTTTACCCCAGTGAGGTAGCGAGGAGCATCTTATAGAATCATAGAATCATAGAATGCCGAAGGTTGGAAGGGACCTCAGAGGTCATCGAGTCCAACCCCCCTGCTCACGCAGGGTCACCTAGAGCACGTGGCACAGGGCTGCATCCAAGCGGGTTTTAAAGATCTCCAAAGAAGGAGACTCCACAACCTCTCTGGGCAGCCTGTTCCAGTGCTTTGTCACCCTCACAGTGAAGAAATGCTTCCTTAAGTTCCTGTGGAACTTCCGATGCTTCAGTTTGAAGCCATTTCCTCTAGTCCTATCCCTGCTCACCACTGAAAAGAGGCCGCCCCCCTCCTCCTCACTGCCTCCCTTGAGGTATTTATACACGCTGATCAGGTCCCCCCTCAGCCTCCTCTTCTCCAGGCTGAACAGACCCAGCTCTCTCAGCCTTTGCTCATAGGGCAGATGTTCCAGGCCCCTGATCATCCTCGTAGCCCTGTGCTGGACTCTCTCCAGCAGCTCCACATCCCTCTTGTACTGGGGAGCCCAGAACTGGACGCAGTACTCCAGATGTGGCCTCACCAGGGCTGAGTAGAGGGGGATGATCACTTCCCTCGACCTGCTGGAGACGCTTTTCTTAATGCACCCCAGGATCCCGTTGGCCTTCTTGGCCACCAGGGCACACTGCTGCCTCATGGTCAACTTGTCGTCCACCATGACACCCAGGTCCCTCTCTGCGGGGCTGCTCTCCAGCAGGTCCACCCCTAATCTGTACTGGTGTCCAGGGTTATTCCTCCCCAAGTGCAGGACCTTGCACTTGCCCTGTTGAACCTCATGAGGTTTCTCGCCGCCCAGTCCTCCAGTCTGTCCAGGTCCCTCTGGATGGCAGCACAGCCCTCAGGGCTATCAGCTACTCCACCCAGTTTGGTATCGTCGGCAAACTTGCTGAGGGAGCACTCCAGCCCTTCATCCAGGTCGTTAATGAATAAGTTGAACAGGACCAGACCGAGAACTGATCCCTGGGGGACACCACTAAGTACAGGCCTCCAGCTGGACTCCGCACCATTGACAACCACTCTCTGCACCCTGCCATCGAGCCAATTCCTAATCCACCTCCCTGTCCACTCATCTATCCCACACCTTCGGAGCTTGCCCAGGAGGATGCTGTGAGGGACAGTGTCAAAAGCCTTGCTCAAATCCAGATAGATGACATCCACCGCTCTGCCCTCATCTATCCAGCTAGATATTCCTTTGTAGAAGGTGATCAGGTTAGTCAAGCAGGATTTCCCCTTGGTGAATCCATGCTGGCTACTCCTGAGCACCTTCTTCTCCTCCATGTGTCTGGAGAGAGCAGCCAGGATGAGCTTACCCAGTTATTAGAAAATTTTGAGATTCCAATAGAATCCAGAAAAAGATTTAAACAT